AACTGATGTACGTACGTACTAAGTTCTACGTTGTTACTGACTGACTGACTGAAGTTGTTAGCAACAACTATGTCAAAATACTAATAACTTGGAGTAAAAGCTATGTAACGGGCACAAACATCATGAAAATTGACGTGTGACGGAAGAATGCTGTAAATAGCTGGTGAATAACGACATCCGCGATCTTCGATAACGTGTAACATATGCGCGTGAACCTATAGCAGCTTCATATGTCGACACTTTCAAAATAAAGTTTAGTCAAATGAGAGAATATCACTTTCAGGACTACCACAGGCAATCTAGCCTCCTGTTTTTTCAAATCTGAAACTGAAGCAGAAAATATTCGTGTCAAGTGACCTTGTTACCATAGTAACACATGGAAGAGAAGATTTAAATGTTTAAACTTGTGACTTTCTGAAACACCACTTATCAACTTCTAATACTGACTATCATATACCTCTAATATCACAAATTTTTTGCTCGTCATCATCATCAATAATGTTAATTTTTTTTAGTGTAAGTGCACTAATATTAGTATGAGTTAAATATTTTACTCGTTGAAATGTCCCAAACTCCCAACATTGAGATAAAATAGATCAGTTTTGGATAAATTACAGGGCAATGTCTCCAAAAACTTTGCATTCATTTTAGCTAACTGCAACAATCGAACGTTTGAAACTGCATTGGCCATGACCCGATGATGCATGTCGTTTCATCTTGAACGTCGACTGGTGATTTTTCAAGTATGTTTCTTGTTCTTTTGATTTTTTAGGCAATTCTTCAACCATATTTGTCAAAATTTTGGTGCTGCAAGCATACATGTAAATGTAAACACAACTTACTCGTTTGAAATAGTCCGTAGTGTTGGCTGTACAGTTGATGTGTTTAACCGTGATATGGATTCCATTTTTTGTAGAGCTGATGTCTGATAATTGAATACACGAATGCATATTTGATTGTATGTCATTCACACAAAAACGTTGTTTTTCGGGTGGTTCACCAGGCTGCTGAAAACATCCATCTTTATTGCCTCCGTTTTCTCAATGATGTGGTCGCCGTTTTAGTTCCCCAAGAATTCTGTTAGTCCATTAAAACTAAAAATTTACCCTCTCAGTCTCCTGGATTGGCATGAAATTGTATCGTCGGGCTCAACTTTTGTTGTGTTGACACTGAAAAAACTTTCCATCTATGACTTCAAATCAATATCAACATCCGAGTATTTTGTATGAATAATATTTAATGTAGTAAAAACATGCCATAATAATCCACGACCTTACGTCTGAGAAACTTCCAGTCTTTTCCTGTGCCTATGCAACCCTGAATGTGCTTAATTGCTGCATTTCCATTGAATGCAGATAACGGTCCATTCAGTAACCAAATACGTGGGATGACATGGAACTGTCTTTTCTTGACGGTATGAATGGCGGCAAAGAATTGGCCCATATTCTGAAAATGTCGCGAACACAAATTATGAACTTTTTTCAACAACATACATAGTTGCAGATCGAAAACTAGGCTATAAACGTCTACACACAGTCACTAATATCTTAAATAAGTGTAGTGGATAACTGCCTGTTACTCAAAAGTGTGTAAACTTAATTTTGTGACCTCAATAATTTATATAGGAATTGAAGCACACTAAAAAGGTGTATCTGTCATGAAAATGCATAGAAACTGGACTAAACCTGAAATATTAGCAAATACCTATACTGACTGGATTGAAAGAATCTATGAAATAGTCAGAGGGGTCACTATCTGGCTTTAAATTTCATTTTACTATAGTGATGACCCAAAGCATTGTCATAACCAGTATCACACTTTTAAGCCTACAGAGCTAACGTTTAGAGTCCCTGAAAGTTATAACTTTAGACAATCGTAACAGACAGAAGAGTCTGTTAAATTAGGTCTTACGTCAGTCTGAAACAACGTTTGGAAGTCATATTCCTCAACATATTGCTGTGCAGCCTGTTTAGCTGCAGCAAATCCATAATGAACTGGTCGTCTATTCTTGTTCATGCAAAATTTGAAAGAAAAGTTATAGAAGGAATCTAAACAACCTTGTTGGAATACATCTTCGACAACAAGCTTCAAACTGTGAACACTGCAAACAAGGTGTCCACTACTATAACAGTTTTCATATTCCATCAGGAATTTATTTATTTCCACCACTTCACTAATTTTGAATGATGTCTTATATGAATTGATTTTGGAGCAACACATGTCCCTCATAATTGAATTAACAGTTTAATTTCACACCGATTATAATAACACATTGAAATATACTCACCTGAAAAGTTCAAAAGATTCAGAAGCGTAACTCTAAAAACATACAATACTCTGTGAGCTACGTTAACTGAAATCATCTCTGAACATAAAGTAACATTCGCATATGAGTATTTAACTTACATCTCTATTATTTAGTTGTTGCAAACAATTTGTATCCATTTTATGTGATGAGTTAGTGAGCAAAAAAGTTAATATCATAAAGGATGCACATAGATATATTCTTAAATGAATGAAAGATACAGAACAAGCAATCCTTAGTTCGCCTGTATCTATTCCGAGATTTCGATAAAAGCGTTATCACTTACTGTTAAGAGGAGTGCGCTACTGAAGCACGTATTGCATGCTATAACTTATGTTCCTGCTATATTTTTTATAAACTTTATATAGGAATTTAATACAGGGTACAAAAAATTTATCAAAATGATGGGGATACTTAAGTTTTGACTGTTCAAGCAAAAATGATAACATATGAAAAATTTCCTAACATGATACCCGACTGTATTGTTTAAATTTCGTTAAATAGTATGGATATATTACTGCAATGATAGGGGTCCCTAATGCAATCAATTAGTCAATACAAACAACGCTTTTTCTTCTCTACAGTTAATATATGTTCCACAGTGTCTTTCGCTAAAAAACACACTTATAGCGTCCCAGTGACCAAGGTGCATACCACCTACTGGTTCACTTCTGCGAAATTATCCAGTGTATTCGTTCATGAAAAAGTTGGTTAACAGCGTATAAATAGGCGGGAGCAGTTACCTATTCTTTCGTACATTGAATTAAATATAAATGCTACTGAACTTAGCGGCTTTCCGTGTTTAATGATATATAACAAAATATTTTCAAAGAATTACCGAAAAGTGAAAGATATTCACCTGACCAATGAGTTGTTAGCACAATGAAAAAATCGACCATAGTCTTAATTACCTACTAACCGACGCCTGTTACTCCTCGTGGCGGAGCATAAGCCACCTACCAGCACCCTTCATTCAAACCTGTCCTGGGCAATTCTTTCCAACTGCTATCCATTTTTTTCATGTCCGGTTCCAATTTTTGACGTAGTGCATTCTATGGCCTTCCTCTTTTCCGTTCCCCCCCAATTGGCGCTCGCCTTGTGATTCCTGTAACGTATGTCCCATCCTTTTTCATCGTCTCTTTCTAATTTCCTCCTCAGTTGGAAGGTGGTTTGTTCTCTCTCACATCAGGCTGTTGTTGATGGTATCCGGTCAAGGGATATTGAGTATCTTGCGCAGACTATAGTCTTACCAGATAAAAATGTTTTAGTGATATATGATTATAGCAGTGTGCCTAGGATATTCATCAACAGACGGACAGCTTACTCAGTATATTCATTCAAACATTTATATTGTCGATGACTCACAGTATTTATTTTTGATACTGTTATACATACTTAGTAGCCTTTGAATACTTAATAAGTAATACATGAGTCGCGTGAAATTCGTACGTCCTAGCAAAGTCATACTCTGGCTTGAAAATAATATATTTTAATATAAAATTGTAAGTTTCTGTTATAACTTGTGACCACCGATTAGAGAGCAGTGACTTACCGATCGGATCAATGACGCGCAAAACCGTATGAGCAGCCTAGAGTTTTGATTGGCCCTGCTTTCCACCTAGCCCAGCCAGTTGAGTCCAGAACACCAATCCGAGCCTCTGCAATATGAATCATTATATTTCAGACATACTGAGTTTGTATACCAATCAAACAGACCACAACGTAGCAATAAAATATGAAACGACGTTTTCTACAAGAATAAGCCAGATGTGGCTGTGAATGAGGGAGATAGTAATTAGTATACTGGGTATAACTCAAGAATGGTAAAACGTATAATAATAGTTTATAGGTCGAAATCAAGCTTATAATAAGAGGAATATGAATATGCATAGTTTAGTTATTTAATAATTATACAATAGAAATATACGTTTAGTATTGGTCCATAAAGGGATCCCAAAAGTTACCATTCATTATTCTTGTCGGAACATAACAGTTTCACACATGATAACCCTTTAAAAAGGCAATAAATTTCAGAAATTCTATGAAAAAGATTTTGAGATGACAAGAATGACACCAAAACATTTTTGAAGTGCATTTACACGTATGTAAGTAAATACTTAGGTCATACATGTGATCTAAGTAAAAAAAATCGTGGCATTTCAAGGATCACATGTACGCCAAATAGTTGTGTATAGAGCTTCGAAAACTTCAAGTTCGTGGCCGTAATTCGTTGGGATTCAAGGTGTACACTGTTGAAGATATCTGAAATTGTTGCTTCGAATAATGAACCAGAAAATTATATGTAAATCAGTCAATCTCTTTGATAAGTTCCAAAGTATGGGTTGTGATTTAATGAATATTTATGAAGCCTGCACCTCATAGCAAGATTGTCGTCCTATAGGGTTAATTGTTATCATGCAATGTAACGGCTTACAGTTGTAACGATCTTCTAAAAATGTCTTAATTTTCCACTGTTTTTTACTTGTGTTTTCCCATTGCTGAGTGCTGTAAGTTTCGTTTAATTACTCATAATGATAGTTATGCCTGATTAATAGTAATTTTCATGCTTTCGTTTTATAACTTTTTAGATTGATAGGTTGGTTGAGTTGATTGGCTCTCTCAGATATACAAAAACCATTTTTCTCCCGCTCACACTTGGAAAATACTTACAAACAAAATAACAACTCGACGCTATATGACAATGAGTATCACCTTATTAGGTTTTAAAACTATGTTAACGGAGGAGTTAGGTAACAGTTTAGAAGAAGATTTAAGACAAATGGTGGTTAGATAGCTTACTGTTTTAAATGAAAGAGTGAAATAACTTTGTAGATTTCGATAACTACACAAGAACTTGAAAAAATAAAACAGGAACTCATTTGTTCATTTGAAGACTCAGTATGTCCATATTCGCCTTTTTTTAACTTACCAAGAAGTCATTCTCTTTGGATGGGACACAATGGTCCAAAATAATCAAAGCGTTTGCGAAGATTGTAAAAGAACTATTTTCAGAACCCGAAGCGGAAACAAATACGCCAGCATTTTCATCACAACAGGAAAGCATTCCAAATGGTATTTACAAAATTTACTAATTTTTTGGAAGCTTTTAGGGAAATAGTGTACATGTACAATAAAACGGTATGCCCTGATAATCAAGGATACAGGTAATGCGAACCACTTCAAACGAAAATTGCTAACTCTAATATACATTTCAGTGATATAAACATTGGACTATCTTTAGAAGGTATTCCAATTTCAGATTAAGAAACGTATATATCAATCATGAATTATTGCAGAAAGTCAGAGAAACCCTTCCCAGTTTGAAACAAACTACTCCACTGGTTTGTCCACAAATGTTTGCACTGACTCCGAATGTGAATATTTCAAAGTGAGTTTTATTTTTGTACTAATGTTATAGCTCTTCTTAACGTATAGGAAGTGGGCTCATAAATAATTAGAGATAGTTTATTTTGTATGTAGAGAAAACTAAATTTTTAAAAGGACCAATGTATACATGAATAACTATCAAAGGAAAGAACGGAACATATTAGCAAATAGTGTAATAATTTCATCACGTACCATTTACATCAATAAATATTAATGAGACACAGAACCGAATAGACAGATACAGAGACACTAAAAATGGAATGAGATTTATGATTGTTGATGGTGACCCAACGCACTCAAATGAAAAAGATTTAAAAAAAAAACACAATTACGTGCATAAAATAATTCACTGTTACAGTATAACTACGTAAGTTCAACAGATGATTCAATCATCAACATACTAATATACGAAGACATTAAATATCTCGAAACAAGAAAGTAAGTTAGCAAAAATGAATGACTAAGACTAAAGGCTATACAATGATCGTAAATTTATTTCTTTTGTACTAATCCTTTTGATTATAAATATAATTTTTGTTATATCCCAATGAGTAGGAAATTGTATTTTTGACGTTTACTGGCTTAATATAAGCCACTTCTTCTGAGTAAATAAATAACCGAATTAAAACAAGTTTAAATAGTACAAAGGAAACAATGAAGATTATTTTTAGTACAATCAAAATCATAATAGATCTGAATATGTCGATTTCCAGTTATTGTTGGTTTAGATGAATTTGTATGACTTGTCACTGTATTAATCTGTGTGTCAGAAGGTGAGAATGAAGTAGTGAGATCCCCCGTGAGATCTTGACTTGCGCCAAGGAACACGTAGGTTACACAAAAAGGCCTCCTAATAATCCTTTAATACTGGAAAATTTACAATTTAAATCAAAAATAGCAGTCCGGGGTATTTTCGGCAATCACCAAATTGATATTAAAAATATCAAAACAATTCAGAAAGGTTTCTTCAACTATAGAGACAGGCGAGTAGCCAAAGTGTTCCACATAATGCTAAATCCCTCTGCCCTCAATAAGAAAGAAGGCCTGAATATTTATTTAACCTAGATTGTTTATCCAATCAACCATATTTGACCTTATTTATGTTCCACACAATCTACACACACACGCACACAAATTCAACCCCACTACTTTGTTATAGCACATCAAAACAGTGCAATGAAATTTAGATGGTGGTTGGAGGTAGTCAACAGGAAACCTTGAACCAGGGTTTCGTGCTACGTGGCGCTCGTCAGCAAGGTGTACCTGTAATCTTGAGGGAACTGGTGTTCCCTGGTGGATTCGATCTCGTGTTACCCAGCTTCACAGTCAGAGACGTTACCACTGAGCTATCCGAGTCGTGACTCACCTCCTGTAGGACTGAGATGTAATCACAATTGATTGATCACTGGGTGGTGATCAATGTCATGCTTGTCTAGTCCTTATTAGTGCAGATCCAATGCTATCGATCATGTTGCAATGTGGCCACCAGTCTAGGTGATTCGACACTGCGGGCACTATATATTGAGATTAGATGGTGGTTGGAGGTAGTCAACAGGAAACCCTGGACCCGAGTTTTGTGCTACTCGGCACTCGTCAGCGAGGTGTACCTGTAATCTTGAGGGAACTGGTGCTCCCTGGTGGATTCGATTTCGTGTCACCCAGCTTCACAGTCAGAGACGTTACCACTGAGCTATCCTAGCCGTGTCGAGTCACCTAGACTGGTGTCCACATTGCAACATGATCGATAGCATTCGATCCGCACTAATAAGGACTAGACAAGCATGACATTGATCACCACCCAGTGATCAATCAATTGTGAGTGCAATGAAATCTCAAATAAGTCATTGTGATTAAGGGGAGCCTTCGTAATTATTGAAAAGAATAAAGTTTGCAATAGAGTAACATTACTAATTTTTATTTAATTTATCTACTTGTAAGCCATCCGCCTTCGTGAAAACTAATTGTACCTGATTTATTTATTCTACTAGTTGTAATTGTCTTTATTTAGAATATTACAAGTTGCTTGTATAGTAAAATAATCATTATTGGTACTGATGAATATAGTTATTGTAGTAGTTGTACAGTTGAAATTTGTAACATATACTCAGGCTAATTCAAAGGTTAAACTCTTCACTCTAATAGATTGATTACATGTGATCTGGCAAAGAAAAATGAAATATATTTTATTTTTGGTCAATACTGACCAATAGAACCTGTGGTATTTTGTAAAAATATTTCGTTTAGAGTCAATACTTTGATTTTTATTTTATTTTAGGAAATAATAAATAAGATTTAATTCAATGGTTGAAATCATGAGTCAGTTGAAGCTAGACCACCATTGAAAACCTGGAAGCACTGGACGGCCGTTTCGTACTGGTATGGGACTAAATAGCTGTCCAGTGCTTCCAGGTTTTCCACGGTGGTCTAGCCTCAATTGACTCATGATTTCAACTATTGAAATTTTAAAATGTCCACAAAACCCATTCTGATTTAATTCAATGTTGAAAGTGCATTAATATTCGATATGAATGAAAAATATTTTACTTCTAATACTATTTACTAAATAAGTCAGTTTTAAATCATGTGTTCTCATTACTTACAATATGTGGCAGCGATCGGAATTTTCATACTAATTAAAGTCTGGTATAGCACTCAAAATCCAATCACCTCGATATGACTCTGTAGGACTGATTGCTAGAGGAAAGAAGTATGTTTTGTTAAAAACACCAAGTACTTTGTTCTCTAAATGATACTTAAGGTAATAGTTTGGTTATGTTGTTTGACGGACTATTGTTTACTATTTATATGTCTCTTAACATATATTTTTGCTGGAAATAATGTTGTGATTGTTTTATTGACTTAAGCCGTAAGGTTAGTAGATCAGTTGTGTAGTATTAGTATTGTAGTAGGTGTTTCTGTGAAGATACATTTTTAAAACTGTTCGTCGATGGGACTGATACTATTTGTTTGAACAAGGCATTCCAGTCGTTGACCGTCCTACAGAAGACACAATCGAAATTTATTCAACCGCAGATTTTAGACTTCTTTGTTTTAGCCTTTAAGATATTTAATTTTAAAAAAGAAGCTTAAAAGATGAAATCTCTGTGAAGCCTAAGTCACTAGCATCATTGTTAGTCGAATACCACTGACTCCAATTGTTTCTGTTTAATCTTAAAAAAAAAAGAGTTACCAATAAATTACGTCTTGCATTTTCACTTTACTAACAAATTCAATTTTGGAAAGTCAGTGATTCACTTATCAAAATACTACTAAACAATATTTTACATTTTAGGTCGGTGTATTACGTAACCTATCTGATGAAATACTTCTAAATCAACTCCAAGCTAAACCTATTCTTAGTATATCTCAGCAGCCAAGTTTCTTAATGAAGTCATTTGAAAATACGGTAAACAAATAATTGTAAATTTATAATAATATTGAATGATCAGTTATTTGTTTAGACTAAGTTAATTATATGATACAATTTTTAAATAAGTCTAGTAGGTATTTATGCACGATCATTAATAAACAGGAATAGATTATTTCCATGGCATGTCGATTCAAAATGTCTCTGAGAAGAAAATAAACATTGGCTTCACAATTTCTTTTTTTTATTAAAAAAAGAAAGCTAGTTAGCCAGTCACTTTTAATATAACAGTCTATTTAATAATAAAGATACTTGAATGTTTTATCTCATGCTTCAACTAATGCATGGAAATTGTCTTAACTATGCACAAATATGAATAATGATAAACATAGCGAATATCTTTTCAACAAACGTAAAACTGCAATTTACATGTTACATCCTTAAGTTCTATATGTCAAAGTAAAATAAAGTGAAATGATTTATCATTGACCAATTTTTATATGTAAACAGAAACTAAAGAGTGAAGATAGATTAGTACCATTTTCATTCAGTTTGTCATTTCATTCAGTTAAATATGTAGGATAATAACTTGTAAAAAAATATGGTTTTATGAATGGAAAGTGAATTACTGTTCTGTAGTTAAAATACTTTGATAAATGAATGATTAAAAGATATTTTATATCATATAATGACTGATGTTGTCAAATAAGGATCACTAGATTTGGGCTTGAAAGGCTAAGTCGAGTCTTTTTCATCATTAGATTTGAGAGTAGAAGTTTCAGTCGCATATAGAGCTGTAGGTCTAAACTTCTACTTATTACTTAGTTTTACGGTGCTCCTCGAATTTCAGGACTTATCCTGATTAGGACCCTTTTTAACAGAAAGCGTTTACCCTCTCTTCAAATATTTTACATATGATTTGGTAAAATTTAATAGGATATTATATCTTAACAATCAAAAATTGACGATTTCTTTTAGGTTATACTAACACCTGATGTAAGGCCTACTGACAGACGTTGTATCTCCGAAAATTTACTACAAACAATGGGTCCATTATGGAATGAATATGCAAAAGAAGTAAGTCACTCCTTATATATTCAGTGGTTGAATGAATGACTGTGTATATTAGTAGACTACAAGTAAACATTTACTTGAATAAATGTTTGGCCCTGCCATTGTCACTTGTAATAAATCAACTCAACAATAAGTCATTAGGTAGTTACCAGAGTCCAGTATTCAGTTGTGTTGACCAAGTTTACATTTGATTGTAATTTCATATTTAACATAAAAATTATCGAAATAATTTACACATTGTCCCGAAAGCAATAATTTCATCTTATCATTGTAAGGTTCTACTCTTGAAAATATATTCGACTTTACTTGACAAGACGAATGGCAAAGTATTTACAACCACTAAAACATTTTAGTTTTTGAAGATCAGTAATAAATGAGAGAAGAAATGTGATTAAGTCCATTTCTGTGAACATAAACAGTTGAAAATAACAATATTTAACCTATTTGTGCTAAGATAAATTTAATGTAGGTAGTTTGCGGCAGATTTTGATCCAATGGTTGAAGTAGACCATACAGTATTATTAAACTTAACATAGTAGTTGCCCCATGATAATGTAGTTACACAATTTCCTTTTTTGGCTCATATAATCTGATTTCCTTTGTATTTTTATCAATAATTAGTGATCACTCTAAATGTTTTACTGATATATATATATATATATATATATATATATATATATATATATATATATATATATATATATATATATATATTGATTTGTTGTTGGGAAACTGTTGGGATATTCAGGAAAATATCCCAGAAATTATCCTATTAAGTCTAATGCTATTCTTGGACTTGGAGATGGTATTATTTACTTATTGGTCAGTACTTGTTTCACGTGTCATTTTCCTACTGGTCAATATTGTACAATGTTATTTTCTATTTTATGGTACGTTGTGGTCTGCTTGACTGGTATATAAACAAAGTATGTTTGAAATATAATGATTCATATATCCGAGGCTGAGACTTGCGTTCTGGACTCAACTACTGGGCTAGACAGGGAATCGGGGCCAATCAGAATCCCAGGTCGTTCTGCATGTTTGTGCGTCTTTGGTCCGATCGATAATTCGCTACCCTCAAATCTGCCGTCACAGTTATAGCAGAAACATAACTTATTAAAGTAATTTGGAAATATTCAACCAGGGTTATTTTTGATGTATTTTTAGTTTATTCTGTTGTTCTATTGATGCTCAGCTTTAACAGACACTGATCAGTGAATAACATGCTGTTAGTTATCTCTGATTTATTACCCGGTGAATGCTTTAATATGATAAATAACTATTTTGTTTTTTTTGGAAAAATATCGTTTGGCAATAAATATATAATAATAATATTGAGGTTGATGAAGAAACTGACATTCAATTGGATAGAAATTTGCCTATTCTTGATGAAAATGATGAAATCTTTACTAATCTTATCAATACAATCGCAAAAGATTTCAATGAGATGAAATTTACCAGTGTAAGTTACAACATATATGATACTCCACATTTGTGTAATTTTAATTCGTACTTTCATTGCATCTGTAATAACTTTGAAAAGAATATTAATTCTCAAGTTTGTTGGATTAAGACATGCCACCGAAGTATGGATCTATGAGCATTACTTCAGATCACGTAAATATAATATTACTTTACTGTCTTATGCTTTTAATAAAAAATAACAGAGAAGGTGAATGAATCTAAGTGATATGTAAAAAGGAGAAACTATGTTAGTGCAAATATAATCAGTTCTTATCGGAGTTGTTGAATGTTCAAAATATTAAATGATTTGTGATTATTTGAATAATCTGAAGGTAATTTCCATCATTGACTGAAATTAAGTGGGAAATTCGTGATATTCAAATGAAATCAAATACTTACAGATACGGTAAAACAAAATTCAAGATTATCCTTAAAGACGGTGCTTTATCTATGGAATTAGACAAAATACAATGTAAACCTTAACTAGTGAGATCTCTGAAGTATTGACTGAGTTCGTACACAATCAAAGAACAATACTTTTCAAAATATATATATACAGAGTTATTTATATCGACATGCGATATGTGACAGCTAATAGCTGTGTCAGAATCTTAGTAGCAGACAATTTTAGGATCAAGATGAAAATCACAAATGTATAAAAACTGTCACAATAAAGCCGACATTCGACAAATATACTAGGGTTGAAAATATATATAGCAGGTATTAAAAAGATGTGATTACAACCATAAATAAAGTGAATATTATCAGCTGATGTTAATAATCAAGAATATTAGAAGATAACAGACAAGTCACAATAGACGCTCAAAATTTATTAGAAATGGCAAGGGTTCCTGAAAATAATAAATAGAATAGAGGAATATACAAATGGAAGTTGGACATGAAGAAAATAAAGATATAGAATGAAAAAGAACATCGATAACCTCGAATAACATTTACTACGTAAAATCCATCAATAAAATTTGAAAAGAGTGAACTATGAGAATCCATATTAAATTTAAAATAATAAAATGCTCAGAGTTAAATTTGAAAGTATCAGATAGTATCTGTTTACACGTTAGATTGCTCATTTCTGATGAGTTATAAGTAGGTAGAAACAACTATTAATTTCCTCCTTGCTTTCGGTAAATCAAAGAATGACTTCAGTCAGAAATAACCATACCTTCTCAAACATCTTTAATTATTAATCAAAGATGGTTAATGGCTAGCAGTATAATCCACGACGCGCGTTTCATACTATTTGGGACTCATCAGCTGGATATACCTGCACCCCAGAGTTTATGTTCACTTCGGGACTCGAACCTAACACCGTTCGATCCAAACGCCATCGCGTTATCTACTTAGCTACTAAGACTGATCAATTGCGGTCTTAAATAACAATGTGAAGATACAAGTAAAACGACATCAAGTGGATCTTTAATTATTGTTTAGGACATATTATAATATTAATGTGGAAGAAAAAACTAACAAAATTACTATTTTCTAGGCAATGAATTGATTGTTCTCCGTATGATCTTTCTACATAGGATTTTCATCCTTGTATATCTTATCTATAGCTTAAGTAAATTCACTTGTAGTAAATATATACCATTCAAAATTCAAAACCTTTTCTTAACTTTATAAAATCAGTAATTATTTTGAATACTTTATCATAGATTACACATTGATAACCTGTTACCTTCTTTTTACAAGTAATAAGTTTAATCATTATCCAGTTTAAACATTTTATAACGATTTTTTATTTGGATTATCAATGTTTAATGTAAAACTAATATCTCCATTTATATCATACAAACAACCTTTCAATATCTAATTGTATAAATAGTAATGTATTGTTTGATAGATTTACTGATCATAAACCTTCTAGTCAAACATCTTCAAAAGTTCTACAGTCAATGAATTTTCAGCTCATGATATACCATTGTCTTAAAAGAATCCAATTTTTTGTTAAATTACAAGTACATGGAACTAAAATATTTTGACTTATTCTCAATCAATTTTGATAATGTTCTTTTTTTTGTTTGTTTGTTTCTTTCTTAATTACATAAATATCATTATATATAAATTCAGGATAATGATAATCTTAAATTCTTTGATATACCAGTTCCTGATGAAATAGATATAAAACCAATTTATGAAACAGTTTGTCAATTATTCAATAATAATTCTAAATCTGTACTTACAAGCCTTAGTCAATCATTTTTAATGGATAAATCAAAATGGATTTTACCGTAAGTGATAATAAACTTTTATTAGCTAATTTAATATGAAAATAAAAGTATTCAATGTACCAAACTTCATTCATATTTATGTTTAAAATTTAAAGACTTTTTAAGAGTTAATACTTTTTCGGTAACAATGTAAGCTCTATCTCATTGAGTGAGAAGTTTTTTTCATAATTAGCTCATCAAATCGTTGATGGAAGTGATTGATAGTTCTATATAAATCAACCCAATTAAGAAATCATAAGAATAAGATAATGACTTTTGTATATAACACAATAAACATTTCAAACAAAGCTGCTCTCGGTAACGTTTTTCTTTGTTTCACCTAACAGAATTTTGAAGTTGCACACTGATGAAGATGAAACTATGTTTCGAAGAACAAAAACACTGGTAATTTACAAAAAGTTTTGAATAAATATTATAAATATTTCGTTTTAATAATAAGGGACGTTTATCACATGAATAGAATTATTAAAGCAATTCTTTTAAGTATATAACTTAGTTATAGTATAGTTATTATCATACAACCAAAGTGATTAATATTAGTACTACTGTATACTGTTAGTGGAATTGTAAAGAATTTCTTAGCTCTTATCATTTTGCGTTAATGATCACTGTGATAACCGAACAGTCGACTCTGTATTGTACAAGAGTGGTTGATAATGAACAGTTTTTAGTCATGTTCAGGAAAGCGATATCCAAATCCTAACTTAACAAATTTTCAAAACTGAAACCAATACTAAAGTGATCACATAAATTATTAAGACATTCAAGCGCCTAATTTACGTTTAATAATATTCAACCAAGGTAATATGGTTGATTTAATCTTTACATAAAACAATGGTTAATCAAAGATACAAATTGATAAATCAATGGTTATTGATATTTCTCCTGCCAAATCAACAGAACTAGCAACTTACACTCACTGATTAATTTTTATCTATCTACAAAAAAGTATCTAGAAAGTAGGTTTTCACCATGTTTGTTGTTTATATGTTACATTAGTTAAGTTTTAAAGGCATCTATCATATGAAGTTTACCATAAATTAGTTTATTAATTATTTTCCATTTGCTAAAATTACCACTTGTCTTATTATTATTATTACGATGTATTCAATTTAGCCAAGTAGTAAATTGGATGAATTATTTATTCATGAAGTAAATAAATACAAAAAACAAAATGAAAAAGTAGAAAATATATCAGTTAACAATTTTAATGAAAAATATGAGAAAATTTTAGCAGAATTAAAAAATGAAGAACAAAAATTCAATAAGTGAGTGTATACTTCAATAAAAAAGAATCATTAGTCAGTCAATTTTTTTCTTTTTTAAGACAAACTCAGAGTCGATTTATTTAGAATTGTATTAAGTGTATGGCCCTAACTTAAAATCCTGAAGGGAAGCGGAAAAGAGGAAGGCCAAAGAACACATCAGTAGGTCTCAACATACACAAAGAGAAAACCAAGGTCCTCAAATTCAAAACGAAGAACAGCAATCCAATGACTCTTGATGGCAAAACTCTGGGAGATGTACAGTCCTTTACATAACTGGGAAGCATCATCGATGAACAAGGAGGTTCAGATGCAGACGTAAAGGCGGGGATTGGCAAAGCAAGGTACGCATTCCTACAATTGAAGAACATATGGAACTCAAAACAACTTTCAACCAATATCAAAGTGAGAATCTTCAATACGAACGTCAAGGCAGTTCTACTATATGGAGCTGAAACATGGAGAACTACTACAACCATCGTCAAGAAGGTGCAAGTATTTATAGATGGTTGTCTACGCAAGATACTCAACATTCATTGGCCGGATACCATCAGCACTATGGATAGTTTATTGAATGTAATCAGTAGTGTGTAGTGTAGGTTGCTATGCTGAGCCCACACAGCTTATTTTAGCTTTCGGATAGATCAGTTTATTTATTCGTCTTGAGTCGCATTTTGACCTTGTCAATTATTCGCTTATCAACCTTGACTTTTTATATGAGCGTATATGTGTGCACTTCCTATCCTATTCGTCACATGTTTATAACTTATTTTAGTCCGACTATAAATATCGATTAACGTGTGATTAAATTAAATTGGCAAACATGCCTTCTCTATCGCACATCGTTTTGCTTAGCTCTCTTCTCTTCGCTTCGTTTCTTCGCTCGTTAGTCTGGATCAACAATTGTACGAAATATACACATCAAAAATCCATTATTATATTTGACTTGTTTAATTCCGTTATCCACTGACGCGAGTTCAGTCGATAATTATATGCAAGGATTGGTGACATGTCTATTTCGATAATAATCATAAATACGACCTAAATGGAGTCAGATATTAGATCACTAAAAGTGTACAAAACAGAGAAAGAAATTTACTTTTATCTAACAGATGTTCAATTACAATACACTATGTGGATACTAATGAATAAAATTTGATTACTTGAAGTTGTCGAGTTAGAGTTTGAAAATAACCCATTTTGTTTGTAAGTTAAATTATTAAAACATTAAGCTAAATATTTATAGAACAATTTGTAGAGGGTACTGAAGTTCTATATAATAATTATTGACACTTAGTAATTCATCATATCCAAGTTGTCCAAAAACCCTATTGATACTCCGAAAATCCAAATATCTCTTACTTAGCATTTTAGAAAAGAGATTTTTTCAGTCGACTCTTTTAATTTTACATTATTCTTTTGTTTTCGTCATTCAAGTATACTTGATCATTCATGTGGGCACTGCGTTCACGCTCTCAGGTCACTAAGGCCACCTCTAATCCAATTTCCTTTTTAGGTACCTCCAAAAGAACCCTTCCATAGTGTGGGCAACCGGGAGGTGATAACCGCCCTCATACCTCTAACAATACTCAAGACCACTGAATTCATAATCAACCTCTTTCTTCAGTTCTTATTTATTAAATAGTATAATTCCATTTGAACTGCAAAGCTTTTCCATCTGTTATTTACATCTAAACGTTTTTGTGTGTTACATCGTTTCACTTAACTGATGATAAATAACTACACGATTCATGACCTACAATTGAGAAGCCGATAATAGACTGTACAGTAATTTCAGTTAAGACAACTATCTACAGTTCATACACAAAGTATTATCTACAATCAAATTTAAAAAAATAATTTTAAGGTGAATATTTATACTACAACTGGCCTGTTTGTCTACTCTAATCAACCAATTACAGACGTGAATAGTAAATTACCATACATAGAATTGTAATATGTATACAAATATATATTCATCATATAAACCATATTATATACTTGGTGTTTCTTTAATTTTAATTTAACAACAATATACACGTTACTTATATATGGATTAATCGATAGAAATTTACTCATATCAACCAAGTATTAATTTATCATGCCGATAAAAAAAATAATCGAATGGAATCATTTACAATGTGTACAGTTTTAAGTTACAAAAATATAAAATTTATCACTTTTGTATTTGAAAAGTGAAATTAGATTCTGAAAAATTTAACTACTCATATTGTGGTGTGAACTACTTATATTGATATAAGTAGTATATAACGTGCGTTAAAAGAACGTAATGTCTGGCAGCGGAAGATGGCGAAGATCAAGTAAGGTAGAGAGAGAACAATGGAATTTGTAAGAAAATGCATGGACAATGGATTGGTGTATGCAACAGAAACAGTTCAGTTTGGTTTGATGCATGAATATTTTGCAAATTGACGATATACTGTATGGTATTCAGATTTTGTTGAGATAGACTGTAATTGTCGTGCTAAATACATCTGTTTGTCCCCACCCGTGTTCTTTTTCACTACAATATGAGTAACTGTAGTTCATATTTTCTTAACGGGGTTTATTCAAAGCAAAGTTAAATGACTAGATTCCAGACCTAATATTTTATACTATTGAAGATTGTATGAATTTTATTTGGTTATTTCTTCATTTATTTATTTGCTCTGAAGAAATGGTTTACATTAAGTCACAGAATATCAAACATTTTCACTTCTACAAATTGTGATATCAAACCTGTTTATTTTTTATTGGTCGTATATAATTTTCATTTGGTTACTCATTCTCTGAAGAAGTTGTTTACACTGAGTCACGAAACGTCAGAAAATCTAATTTTTTTTACTCATTGAGATATTACAAATATATTAGTTTACTTGAAACTATATAATTGTTTTATTACCAATATTCGAGCCAATACCCAATTGATTTGAACTTATCAAGTCAAGCTTTGATATTAATACCTATAATATCTTAGAAATTATATTAATACTAATTGATCATAGTAATAATCACGTTTCATGTATTCTGTTTATTGATATTTGTATACTTCAATACATGGTATAATGTTATAATATGGTGTTTGATGTACAACAGTTCGAATAATGTGGACTTGAATTGTATGCTTTCTAATACATACATGAGAGAAACAATTCATCTGTAGTTTTAAGTTTTGTTTAGTTTATTGTTGGTTGTTTTTAATTGATTAACAAATTCATTCAAACAAATATTAGTCAACTACTTCTAACCATAGGTAATTAAATTTTTCATTCCTCAATTTTAGCCATAAACAATGTATTTCTTTTTTTTAAATTGTTATTTCTGTAAGCTGCATTGTATATATGTTCTTTAGGTTAAAACAAAAGTTAATATTATGTCAGTACAAGTCCAATGAAGTGCCATTGTGGAATACAGGCAATCATATGATAGTTAATAATGACAGTAGTAAGTAAACACATAAGTTGTAACTTTACATAAGTAATTTTTAATATTTATTATTCAGATAATCTGTGTTTTGAAGATAAAAATATGTTGTTAAATGTTTGTATTTCACGTACAATTTAGTAATAATCATCATAACGTTAACCAATCACCGCATAATCTTGTTAATTATAATTGAATCTTATCATTTTCATTTCAAACAAGAATATCTGTCATCTTAACTTTTGTTTTCCTCAAATGAAACATAACAGTCAGTTAAACATTTAAACAGAGATGAATGATAGCTAGCAGTGAAATATAGGATGCGTGTTTCGTCTTATTCGAGACTGGTCAGCTGGATTTATATAGATCCCAGAGTTCATGTTCACTCTGAGACTCGAACCAAGTGCTGTTAGCTTCCAGAGATATCACATTTTCCACTTAGCTATTAAGTCTAGTTAGCCAGTGACCATTGATATCGAGTGGATTTTAATTCATATATACTCGTTGTTTGCATCTCTCATTGATGTTTCGGACTGGGTAAAATGCCCATGACTTATTGGGAATATCGAGTCAATCCAAACAGGATTCACTTATGTCAAAAAGTGACTGATCGATTGCAGTTTTAATCATCGATGAGAAGATTCAAACAACCAATATATATTGGTCAGTTATATAGTCGAAATAATATTGCGAAATCATTACAATCGGTGATTTGATTATAATAATAATAATTACTATTATCTGAGATCGAAATTCACCCAGAGATTACCAATAATTTCACAGAGATACATTGTTCTCCTCCACTACGATATGAATGCATACTCGGTCAACTGGATGATCCAGGGCAACATTTTTTAATATTTTAATGACTTAATAATATGGAAATATAAGTTTACTTAATGAAACTACTTGTGAGAGTTTTTTTATTTTTCAGTTGTTGATACTTAAGACTACATTTAATGACCCTCAGTGAGTACCTCCATATTGTCTGTAGTTAAAATAAGAGTAGTAAGATAAGACAAATGTAAACCTTTGAGAATAACTTCATGCACAATGAACAAGATATTGGCTACGTTGAGTCAACAGGTTAATGAAAAATACGTTTTTGTTTAATAGTATATATACTAGATTTGAGTTTCTGTGTTAATATTAGCATTGGGTCACAACTATTTCTAGTAAATGATTGGCAGACAAAAAAACGTGGGTTCTAGAATCTACAGCTGTTCAACAAATAAAAATATCCAACAAACCTTTCATAAAATATCCATCTGTTGTTTTCTTTTAGTATATGATCGATCTATAGTGAAAAACCGGCTACGTAAAAAATATTAGAATCCACATACATTGATCAAGATACTACTCAAAAATTGATCTGAAATTCAGCGATACACACTTGATTGATGTGAGTCCGTACAATAAGGCAAATGTCATCAATTATCAACGGTGAAAAATTTTTTTTTATTAAAACTTAATTTACTTTACGCATCATGTCTTTTAGGTAAACTTTCAGAAAAATCAACTCAAAGCTGGTTTGTTAATGAAAAACGAATCATTGTTTAATTATTTGATTTTTTAAGATAAATGGCTTAAATATTTCTGTCCTCAACAATAAAAATGAATTCTCTCTGAGTTGATATTTTTCAGAGTCGTGAATCCACATTGCTGAGATGTACCAAACCGTAGTGATATGTTTTTGCCCTATTACTATCTGATCTTTAAATGTTCTCCAAGTGATGTCTATTCGTAAGGCGAAGTATTTAGAAAAAATGAAATTCAATTAGTTGTAACATTTTGAACTTTACCTAATCCTATGATTAGGATTTACAAAATATTTCCAGGCTTCTGTGTCCTTTAAAATTTTAATAGTTGCATTCATAACTCGATACAAGCTAAACCACTATTGGAAACCCAGATACACTGGACGACCGTTTCTTCCTATTATGGGACTGCTTAGCAGTGATCGTTCACGATCCCGCCCGCAGGATTCGAACCCAGGACCTTGACTTCGCAAGCAAACGCTTAATCTCTAGACTACTGAGCTGGCCGGCATCCAACGGTGTTAATATTTGACTTCAATTGATTCATGATAAACCGTTCATCCATTGTCTGAGGCGGGTAACTGTCTGCACGCGACACAGATTGGACTCCATTGGTCATGGCTTCGCATGGATCGGTTGACATCAAACACCGTTAAGCGTTCACTGGCGGAACCGAAGGTTCGGGGTTCCAATCATGCGCTCGGGATCGTGGACGCACTGCTGAGCAGTGTTATACTAGGTCGAAAGGGTCGTTTAGTTGTCCCGGATTTTCAATGGTGGTATAGCTTACATCGACTCATGAATTCAACTGTTAAAATTACTATAATCTACACACTCCATTCTGGTCTTTTAGAATTATCTTAGGATCTGTTTTTTTCATTGTTATTTTAATAACAATAATAAAATAATCGTCTTTCTTCATAGTATGACTTAACTATAGTACATCATTGCCGACTTTTTGTATTCAGGTGACTATGAATTGTTAAACAATTGTGAAGAAAAAATCAATTTACTCAAACTTAATTTGATGAATTTAGTTAATACTTCACCAGTTTGTAGTATTTACAAAACTGGCAAAGAAATGGTATGTCATATTCATTCATACACAAGGTTATTTATTTAATTTCAATAAATTCATTATTGAATGTGAAATACTTTATCGAATATATAATAAATCGTTAATTATTTTTGTATTTGATATTGGTTTGGTCGATCAAACCATCCAGCTCAAAGAACAAAACTCAATCAAAATCATTCACCTGAGCTACAAATCTTCTCCACTATCTCAATAGCATTAAACGTTTAATGATAATAACTAAACCTAATAAAATATAGAACAAATTAAAGTAACTATATTTAATATTCAAAACATTTAACTCTGTGCTTGTAAATGTACAAATATTGTATTATGTAGTTATATGGTATGTGTTTGTGACTCATATAATAGATTTATTAAAGATTAAAGAGAAATATCGAATCTTCTATCATTTTTGAACAGTTAGGATTTAGTATTCAGTTTTTATTCTTTTTGAAACTTATGAATCTGATTAATCTGTATTAAGAGTTCCACTGTTGATAGATGCTGTATACTGATAGTTTCTTAACACTTTATATACATAGTGTTCAATGAATATAAATCTACTTATATTATATTAGTATTAAATGATGATAATCTCTGTTAGAACTTCTATCTTTTTCTCTACAACAAGTAAACCAATTGTACAGAATGTGCTGAGGTGCCTGAAAAGGAAATTGGATTAGGGGTGGTCTTAGTGACCTGAGAGCATGACCGAAGTGCCCAAGGGAAAACTGCTTGAGGTCGGTCACACACGACCTTTTTATGGGTAATTTTTGTGTTAGCTCCGTACTTGTTGAGACCTTACAGCCGGAGACGGATATCCGTGGGATAAGGCGAGGTGTGCATTTTTAGTGTCGACCTTTTCTAACCCCACCCCTCCTTGTGGGAAGGCAGCATCGCTGCTATGCTGGTTATCTAAAGGAAACACCTTACTGCTGTCACATCTCTGTACAGTCAGCAGTACGACTTCGCCTTCGGACCTTAGGTTTGTTGCTTTTAGTCTTACCGCTCCTCAACCGACCTATCGGACATGATAGGACCTTGAGGAACAGTTGTTCCAGCCAGTATAGCTCGGTCGGTTCATCACGATAGGCAAGCCCGACCACCACGTCAAGGTAGCAACAACGGTCGGGACAAAATATGATTTGAATATGATATTTTATCATCAATAATCATCATCTCGTTTCAATGGAACAGAAGTATAGTTTTGCTATATTTTTATTTAAGAAAAAAACACAACCATTCATTAACTTTAACTGTATTCTATATCTTATTTGTAGTATGATCATAAGCTAAACAGTATAGGAAATACAATTCAACAACGATTTCTTGTTGTATGGAATAAATTAAAATTTACGGAAAATGAAAAACAATATTGTTTATTGAAATTTTGTTGGAAACATATGAGTGATACTATTTATATGGCAAATATGAATAAAGCATTAAAATTATTAGAATATGCATCAGAATATATTGAACGTCGTGAAATGTTATTACATAAATTAGCAAAAATTGAAATTGAACATTTAAGTCAATCAAAAGATTATAGTTTAAGTAAGTTTGGTAAAAAATGTTTTTTTAAAAAAAGTAAAACTTCTTACAGACAAAAGAAACAATTAAATTTCATTTATTTATTGATTTTTTTGTTTGTTTCACGGTTTTAAATCTTGTTGTGGCCCGAGGATCTGACTCCAATGTAGATCAATGGATGTTGAATACATATATTTCGTAAGTAAAGTGAATGTAATGGAACAGCGTAAAATGACGCACAGGGAGGATGGCTGAGAAGCCAACTCCATTTCAAGCCAGGCATTACTCAATATTTATAGGCAGACAAACAACAGACATGTGATGAGTCATGGGACATGAAGTGTACACACATACGCTCATATGAAAACAGTCAAGACTAATAAGCGAATAATTAACAAGGTCAAAATATGACTCAAGTAAAATGAATTATCAGTATGAGGGTTGTGGAGATTGTTAAGATTTTGGTTGAGATCATGATACTGATAATTAACATGTGCTCACTAGTGACTAGCTTCGTGAGGGAATTCTCGGAGTTCTAGTGAGAAGTCGTGACCTGTGGAGCTAATCCGTGTCGGGTAGAGACAGGTATCTACCTCAGTACAATGGAAGTTGGTCGCGCAATTTCGTGGATTGGTTGATGTTAGACACTAACACCATTGGATGCCGGCTCAGTGGTCTAATGGTTAAGTGCTCAGGCGCGAAGCCAGTAGGTCCTGGGTTCGAATCCCGCTCGCGGGATCGTGGATGCGCACTGCTGAGGAGTCCCATACTAGGACGAAACGGCCGTCCAGTGCTTCCAGGTTTCCAACGGTGGTCTAACATCAATTGATTCATGATCTCAACTAAAATGAATTAAATAGGATGTCCACAAGTTAGAATAAGGTAGATGGGCTTGCCATAACAACTGACACTACAATCTACAATTGGTTCTGTTAAATGAGATATAAATAGAATAAGAATCTAAAATAAGATTTTACACTGACTGATATGTAACCACTGGAAATTAACAATCACTAGATAGATATTTCAATTTCTATGAAATACTTAGTAATATAAATCTTTAATCTTGAATTAATTATTTAACAAATTACTTTATTATCACTTAAAATGACACTTCAGTTTTAAACTGATTCATTTAAAATCTATTCAGTTTAAATTCAATCAGTTGAAAGTATGATATGATTAATTTCAATAATCGACAACGCTTAACCATACTTGACTCAGTTGATATTGTGTTAGATTATAATAAGAATTACATTCTAAAAGTATAATTATTTGCTACCTATCTGAACTAATCTTCATAATAAAATAGTATTTCTGGGTCATTAGTATTGTTAATATCAGATGGGTTTTTGTGGAGATTGTAGTAATTTCAATAGTTAAGATCATGAGTCAGTTGAAGCTAGACCACCATGGAAAACCTGGAAGCACTGGACGGCCGTTTCGTCCTATTGTGGGACTCCTCAGCAGTGCGTATCCACGACCTCGCCCCTTGCTCTTAGCGTTTCTAGAATTTCACTTTCTTCATTTTGTTATCATATGAAAATGAGATATATTTGTAATAATTAACTGTTCACTGCGTTCTTTTTGAAAAGTCTAATAAATGCAACAATATTGACATATATCTGTTAAATGTTTTGGTTATTTCATTGGTTAACGTACAAACACTACTACTTGTTCTTTTAACATCTTGTTATTTTAATATTCGATATAATCCCCAAAGATTTAAATTTTGCCGCTTTTCAAAATTACAGTTAAATTTCTCGTAAATCTGTATCATTTATTTATTCTCAAACGAATAGCACTAAGTTATGTTTATTTCTTTCAACATGATATTGACAATTTAATCTCGAATTCTTTCAAACATATACAACTTCAGGTTTCCTTGTGATGTGTTGCAATTTTCACTATATAGCTTATCATTAAGGTTATTCCATGAAGAAGATCCTACCTAAAAGTTTTCTGTTCCCATAAACCCTTTAACGTTTTGTATATGACGCGAACCATTAAATCGTAAAAATTTGAGTTTAGTCAGTCCTAATTTTTCTTGATACATTTTTTGCACTTCATCAACCAAGGTAACTAGGATATGTGTTTCAAATAAATGTCAACCACGTGACCCAACACTATGCTAGATTGGAAAAGCAATAAGGACAACCTGAAAAAGACATTATTAGATAATAAATTTACCAACTGCTGGTCAAAATTCAAATTCAGTAGCAACACCAAAAATGATTTTACTATTTATCGAACCCCTAATTGTAAAATTGTATTCTCACTCTATCCTGAGATAGTGAAGATTTGTAGCTCAGGTAGATGATTTTGGTAGGATTTTGTTCTCTGAGCTGAATGGTTTTGTCGTGAAGCTTTCATCGTTCTTCTGAACGACATCACCAGCACAAACTTCAGGTAAACGTGAAATGTTCGAATTTCTCCACAAGTGGTTCACAGCTTGTTCTGTAAACCTCGATGTTGTCAACAAGGTCAACAAGAACCAATCAACATCGAAGTTTACAGGACAAGCTGTGAACTACATGTGGAGAAATTCGAACACTTCATTTCTACCTGAAGTTTGTGCTGGTGATGTCGTTGAAAAGAACGATGAAAGCTCCACGACCAAACCATCCAGCTCAGAGAGCAAAACTCTGCCAAAATCACTCTATCATAATCGTTCTCCAAGTCCACTTAACCGTTTTAAATTAAATGTTTTATTATTAGCTTTATTATTTATCACTAATACATACTCACGATTCACTATGAAACTAAACCTAATAAAATAACGTTATATGGCAGGCATAATAATAACCATATTCATAGTATTGTAGTAAACATGACACGAGTGAGGACGACCGAATGTATTTGTCTCGAAATTACAGAGCATCTCAATAAAATCAGAGAACCATATAGTAAATAGTTAATTTGCCAAATATCAATCCATCGTCTCAAACTGCACTGTTCCTTTTGCAAATATTATTCCATTGTCTCAGATTTTATTGTCCATACATCTTCATACCAATTGCGTTCCGTTTCCGTTCTTCCCTTATCGATCTTCTAACGAAATACATTCTATACCTGACCACTATCATATACTACTTATACGGATACAAGTAACCCACACCACATTATCATCACCTAACGATCTGATCCTAAAAAAATTAAATCTAGAAAAAAAAACAGCTCAATGAAATCAAATAAGGTAGTTCTACAATGTTCCAATATATTTAATTGCATTTAGTTATAAGTAAATAAATGAGTTTTTTTGTTGTAATAATAAACTATTCATTACCATCATATTGTCTAGTTGTGATATCATAAAATGTTTATAGTTCTACTGAATGTTTACTCTTTAAAAATGATTCAATAAGTTATATGAATAAAATAAGTTAATAATTGAATATTTCACTACTATATTAGATGATAATCATTTGGAATTGAAATGTTCAGATGAACGTTATAAAGTTGATAAGGTAAATATTATTATTGATTTTTCTTTATTTGAATTATATATTTATATTAATCAATTATTGTTTAGTAACCCGAGATCTGATTCCAATTAGATCATATGAATGTTATTGAAATATTTATGTTGTCCATTCTCGTATAAAATTATCAACTTAGATCGCGTTAGTCAATAATGGAATTAAACAAGCCAGATATGAGAATTGATTTTGAATATGTGTATTTCATGCACTCATCGATTTGATCAGGCAATCAGGGAATGATGCGAAAAGAAAAAAGTGAATCGAAAGGACGTGCAGTGGAGAAGTCAAATGAGCCAACTTTCATTTAATCAAACAGTAATTGATATTTATATTCAGACAAAAATAAGCTACAGACATGTGATGAGTAAGGATAAGATGTACACAGGCGTATGCTTATATAAAACAGTCAGAGTTGATCTGGTGAATAATTAACAAGGTCAAAACGAGACTCAAGAATGGATATATCGGCCTGTTCAGAAGCTAAAATAAGTTATATGTGCTTAACATAGTAACTGACACTACAATTGAATGAATGATTATTACACATTTTGATAGTACAATTGTGTTAAAGTACTTTTCACTGAAATCTTTGTTCTATTCAAAGATAAATTACTTCATAATTTATGATTATTGGCTTATTTGGAATGAAAACGATAGACTGACAGTCTGTTCTATCATTAGTTAGACTTCACTAATATTGAGGATTTAAATTTTTAAATTAAAATATTTTCTAAGACAATATAAATTTTAGTGGAGTTTTGTTCTCTGAGCTTGATGGTTTGGTAGTGGAGCTTTCATCGTTGTTCTGAACGATATCACGTAGAAATGAAGTATTCAAATTTCTCTACATATGGCTCATAGCTTGTCCTGTAGTTCTCAATCTTGGTTGGTTAATATCGACTTTTAACCTGTTTACTGGAAATTCTTTGAAGAGTATTATAAAACGTTTTTGGTGAAGGGTTCAAAATGTGTTAACTGTCCAAACGACTTATTGGCAATGTACAGTAGTACAGCAAGTTTAGCTGATAACTGCTCTTGAAATTGCATCATTGCAGCAAACTATAAAATGTTAAGCTAGACTACCGGAAAATGCTAGTCAAAATATTTTAAGAATGATTTCTGTTAGATGAGAAAGAACTTTGTAGACAAATAATGAATAATTCTAAGATAGGTGTGTAGAGATTGTTGAATTACATTGAAATCCTAAATCAATCTGAGTAAGAACACCATTGCAAACCGGATTGTTTAACTTGGATTGGCTCAGGGTTTCAATGAAAATCACTAGTAAATTAGGCCAAAAATAAATGATTTCATTAAGAAAATGTTTGTGTGTTGATACACTGGTAACATCACTAAATAAACTATAGTTGAACTTGAAGTCGCTAAGTCATTCATGACTCATTTTATTTCACTTGCATCTATTGAACTGTTGTTTATTTAAGATTTATGAAGTGTAATACAGGACATAATTGTACTTCCAGTATTGTTATAATGTAAAATATTCTATCGACCATTTTTAATAAATTAAATCACTTAAATCTTTATATAAATCTATATTTAATAGAAATTTAACAAGTTGGAAAAACTGATTGAGTCTACTGCTAAACAACTGGAGAAGAAGTTTAATTATACTCTGACATTCAACGTATGTTATTAACTCATAAGATAAATTATATTACTGAAATTGCTAGAATTTAATTTTGGAGTAAATCAAAGACGTCTATATGTGTTTGTTCCACAGAGGTATAAATTTACAATAATAATTGATCTTCATTTTAAACAAAAACATTTGAAATTACTATAATATCCACAATACCCCTTCTGATATTAATCAACTTATGCTCACTAGTGACTGGCTTCAAGAGGTATATCCTGGAGTTCTAGAGAAAAGTAGTGACCAGTGGAGTTCAACCAGGTCTGTTGTGAAATAGTAACTCACTGATGACAATGGTGGATGTGTCGCTCAATTTCGTGGATTAGTTAAAGTTAGACATTAACACCGTTGGATGCCGGCCGTCTCAGTGGTCTAGAGGTTAAGCGTTCGCGCGCGAGACTGATAGGTCCTGGGTTGGAATCTCGCGGGGGGGGCAGGATCGTATATGCGCACTGCTGAGGAGTCCCACAATCGGACGAAACGGTCATATAGTGCTTTCAGGTTTTACAGAGTGGTCTAGCTTCAACTGACGCATGATCTCAACCACTGAAAAAAAAGGAATGGAACCTAACAAAACGATAGTTTAAGAAAACAAACATTGAATTACATTAGCACCAGCTATTAGATGCATATTCTTAGAACGTAATAATTTACTGATGTTCTTAGTTTAAATATTATGTAAAGACATTTTGTTAGCCTAAAATATGGTTAATATAATGAGCTTTGTAAAACATATTTCAAGTAAGTTATCTTAAAAAGCCATATTGTTGATCCATAATATCGATGAAAATGAATCGTTTGAAAAAATTACAAACATTTTGAAGCAATTTCACTTGGTATTGTTTGGCTTGTATTTTCCCATCGATGTTTAAGACTGAAATTAATCAGTCTATTCTTGGCATTTGTGCATACTGTGCGTATGCCTCGATATTGATTTAATTCACAAGCTTTTTGAAAACAATGACGGATAGTGGCTAGCAGTGGAATCTAGGACGCTCTTTTCTTCCTATTTGGGACTCGTCAGCTGGATTTACCTGCATCTCAGAGTTGATGTTTACTCTGGGATTCGAACCCAGTACCATTCGCTTCAAATACCATCGCGTTATTTACTCAGCTAGCCACTTGCTTGTGCAATGGAGTGAATTTAAATTTACTTGGTATTGTTTTGAAACAACGCCTAAACTATAAATAATAGCATTTATTGTTATTTGAAATATTTATTCCATGTTGCAACTACACTAAAATCATGATACGTTGTATTGTATTTGGTAATACGATACGCAGAAAAAAATGTAGCTTACAGATTTGCTTACCTTTGAAGTATACGTGATTATCAATATTTTCTGTTAGAGTTAATAAATTTTAACTGAAATCTGAAAACGGATACATATATATGACTTAACTGTTTCAAACACCTTCATGCTGATTACTTCAACATTTAATGATGAAACTCGATCTTTCATCAGGTCAGACGGTGAAATCTTCCATTTCCCATGGACATCTGCCTAGAATAAATTGACTTTAAAACTTCATTAATTTGTTTTTTATTCGAAAAACTCCAGAATTCCTACTCTAATGCAATAGAATGGCTGTTTTTCGTGTTGTTTGAATTCTTAGTCACCATATCTAATAAAACATGATTCTACAGGAAGCGTCTCACTCTCATTCATCTTTAATACTAATACCTAAATGATTTATATGTGTTTACAAATGATCTTGGTGGTAATAATTTACTATGTTAAGAAACGTTCGCATGAGCTAAAGATAATCAGGACAAAGAACTGATAATAATGCACAACAGTGAAGAATTTTCGGACAAAATTCTCGAAGTCCTAGAAAGAAACCTTCGGATGTGAAATCATCTAAATTGATAGTGAGTTTAAATATCAGATGAAGATTGTCTTATCACACGTTTTTCAGAGGAAAAATGTATATTGCTGAATCCGCACTCTGTAGTTTAAGGAAACTGTGTCTCCCACGAGACCCGAAACCGCTGGTTTTAATTACGTGTAAATTATTGACATACATAAAAACAGATCAGTTAGCTAGAAAACAGAATTTTGCGGGTGATTTTCAAAGGTCCTGAAGCTTACATCATATGTGAAGGAAATTACTCTAGCTTACTAATTTAGAAAATAGTAAAATATGATGCTACTTCCATAAAAGTTATATCATTATCTATAGAAGATTCCTAATGTTACAGCATTTGAGTTAAATATTTTCACTTTGCTTTTCAGGGTCAAATTTATCTTAAAAAGATGGTCCATGATCGAAGTGATTTGATTTATTTACTGAGAGATAAGTACAGAAGTAAACCAGGACATGATAGCGCAACATAGAAGCTCCATCCCCAAAAGTACACCTATAACATTATTAACGGTGTTTGTTTTATTTCCCTCAATTTATATGGAATTCGGTGAACAGTAATTATTATCTGTTTTGCATATCTCTATGAATGTGAAACGGTTTATATGATCCAGTATATGTAGCATAATGAGGATATTGAGTAATTCCAAACTAAAAGCGATACATTGTTGTTTTATCAGGTTTGAATAACAAATACACTGCGATTTCTCAATACAGGGTTAGTTAAATATCACTTTTAAAATCGTTGGTAGGTAAGGCGGAAATCTATTTCAAGCAATTAGTCCTTTTTATTAGTTTTGGTACATTGATGAGAGGACGGAGTTGATCTGAAAAGCGTTATGTACATGCGTTATACTTTCATGTCATGTGTATTTTTATGGGAAAGCCAATGAAGGTCAATTAAACAGAAACGATATTTGTAAATAAAGGAGAAAAAATCAATATAATATGTAGAGAATGTAAATTTATCACACTGCTATTCTAGAAAGAAACATTGAGTTAAGTTTACCAGGGGAGACTCAAATTTACGAAAAATTGTTTTTGTACACAAAAACAGTCTGAATTTTCGAATATCCAATGCTATTAGACGATCATAACCATGCTAGTAATTCTGAAAAGAGAGATCTGAATTCAAAATAATCTAACAAGATTAGACTGATCCTAATGAGTCAAGAACTTCTACAAGATACAATCAGGAACTCAAATTGGAAGTACACAGTATAAGATTGTATTATTTAAGCACAATATATAATATTTAGATGTATACTAAGTTTATAGTTTATTTACTACAAGAGATAATTAAGAGAGGTGTTTGTGACCCTACCGCTAGTCACAGAAACCTGTGTCAGAGTCTTACTTCGTGCTACAAGAATACCCTTTAGAGAAAAATCCTGATTTGATATGATAAGTGAAAGTGAAGCTCAAACATCTACTAGCCAACTGATCACAAAGAAAAGGTTTAGCAACAAATTGATAGTTTCAGAGCTCCCACAATCCTCTATGCGACTTCTACACCTCACACGTGATGCCCTATTTATACATAATTAAATCTCTAGACAGCAGTTTTTCTACAAAAACAATAACATATGGACGTAGATGTACATCTAAAAAAGTCAAACTACATCGATAACTGATTAGTTTCACGAGGAAAGTTATTATATATATCCAACCATGATGATACTGATCATTGTACAGTGAAGAGATAGTTTAGTACGGAGCATAGGAAATCTAGAATATCATATGCTGAAGCCATTGGAATTAAGGAACTGAAACCGGATTTATGCATCCAAAAAGAGACTTTAATAAACTTATCACTACCCTGGTAATCTTTTTGTTTCTGTTTGTTTTGTGTTTTGGTTATTTTATTCATTTACTTATTTTATACTCCCCCCCCTACTACCTAATTCTTAAAATAAATTTTATTCACACATTTCCACCACCTGATCCTCTTAAATTATTTTAACTTTCCAAATCCTATTTAATTATTATTACGTAATCTACCTTATCATTATTTAATTCCATTAATCTCTACAATTATCACACAATTTATGAACTTCACTAAATTATTACACCACCCACCCTGGATTAACCCCCCTCTTTTGACCTCTGACCTGTTTCTAGCATATATATATATATATATATATATATATATATATATATATATATATATATATATAGTTATTATTGTAATCCAGTTATTTACACTCATTTATGTCAATTGTTTCACACTATCTCCATGTAAAAAAAATTCTATCACAATTTTGGTTTGTAAGCAGCTGACGAGAAACCTCGAAATAATATGAATTCATACTATTCTGCATCAATGTTTGTTCTTGCTCTATTAAAATTCATAAAGGGAACCAATTGCATGAAATATGCTAGCACCTTTGAGAATGAAGCAAGTTCACTCATCAAGCATGGTGTTTTTGAAGGGCCACGTTAAATATGTTTAAAAACCCATTTTGCAAAATAATGTTAAGATGTTGATAAAGCAATAGAATTCGTTCTTAAAAATAACTTGTGTAAAGTCTGTTTAAATGCTAATCATCTAACTACGGATTTTCAGTCGCCAAAGGGATGAGAGACCAAGTAGTTTGGTTGGTGATATCACACTACATCATAAGAAATGTGAGGAACGAACGGACACCATAGATGACGTCAAAATTGGTACTCATTACTGCATCGAAATTGATACAGCTTAAAAACGCAAAAATTATACACGAGAAGGTGTCACGCTAGCCATAATTCCTGTACTACTAAAAGGTGTCGAGATCATTCATACTTGGGCTTTTTTGAATAGTGGGGCAGTTACCTTTTTTATTGCAGGTGATTTAGTCAGTGACCTAGGTCTACATGCAAAATCTAAAATATTATCTTTGACAACACAATAGTAAATCGTCATTGGCATGCAGGAAGTCGGTATAGAGCTTCATTCATAAAATTTTTCGTCGTCTGTTAAGATCCAGAAATTGTTGATGGTCAGAAGATTATCGATAATGTAGGAGAATCTGTCAACGGCGTATCAGAGAGCATTTTGGTCTCACTTGAAGGGTGTGGAGTTTCCAAAAGAAGATGGTGAGGATATCAAGCTGTATAATAATAATAATAATAATAGTAATAATAATAATAATAATTATTATTATTATTATTCACAAACATCTTATGAGGACATAAGTGTTGCGAAGGAACCACTTCGGGTTTCTTCAAAAACTCAATTATGCACAAGTTTCAATAACTTTAACATTATATTTGCCATATTTGAAAAAAAAGGAATAATAATGATAATAGAATAATAATAAATCAGGTTCTGTGTAATTGAGAAGAATATTGAATTGAGTTTAAAGAAGAAAATAATGGAATCGAAATAAAGGAGAAATACGCAAACAGTTTATTAAGCGTGTTTACGAACACAGAACAAGAATAAACGACTATGTATATATCGCCAAATTAGTGACAAAAATAAAATAGAAAATAACTGTGAAAAAATAACATTATTGCAGTAAGATATGACGCTAGAATAAATGTTTGTGCAGTCATAGTTTAGAGTGATGCTATGAAAGTCCCAATTAAGTGAAAAGGATAATGAAATGTCATTATGTATGAGTCATATATGCTTAGTGAAGATAAATCGAGTCTGGGAGCTTAATTTCAGTGCAACACAAGTTACGAATAATGTTTATTTAGAAGGAAGAGAGAAACGAACTGAACACCTAGTGAAAGGGTTCAACCATGGTAATAATAGAGTAATGAATATCGACCTTTGAAGTAAAAAAAACTTTTTAGTGAACTCGTATGAATACATGTAGATTTATGTAAAATCAGATATTAGTATAAACATTTGTGCAATAATAATTTAAAATGATGCTGTGAAAGTCACGATGAATTGCAAGGGATGATCAAATATGAATTTTTATGTGTTATATATATGTATTGAAGATAAAATTAATCTGAGAAGTTAATTTGTTTAGGTTTAACATAGGATAATTTTTTCTGTTTCTAGTTCTAGACTTTGGATGTTTAGTAATGAAATATGTTTAGAAGGACAAGAAGAGATGAAAAGAATATCTAATGTGTTGAAGAACCAATAATGATAATAATAACAGTCATACTTATAAATACGAACATAAGCAGACTTCATATATTAAGATGAATAAAAATAAAATAAAATAGACGTTGAAAGTTTTCAAGTTCACACTTTGCTTTTTAGTCAATTAGATGGATGACGGACCTTGTTTGTATAAATCATTATTAAATACATTGATATTCAATAGGTGACACAATCTATTTTCGGAAAGAAAATCATCAACGAGACTTCTGAACCAAGTTGTAGTATCACTAAAACGGAGGCTCACTGGCAGTCTGTTCCACATGGTTGAGTAGCGAATAACGAAAACAAATTCTGGCGTAAGTGTTTGTAGGTTCTTGGAATTGCTAGAATATTTTTCCTTTTGAATAGATTATGAGATGATATCATAGAGTATGAAGGGATGGATACCGAAGAGTAGGAAATACCGTTAATAAACCGATAGATAAAGATAAGGTTTAATTTAGTACGCTTGATCCAGATAGATTCTAATTTGAGTTGTTGACATACTTGGTTATAGTTCTTGTTGTCGGAACACCCTAAAACAGCTTTAGAGAACCTTCTTTGAACACCTTCAATTTTAATCAGTTCATTATGATTGCAATTAATAGAAAACTAAAATATCATACTCAAGAATGGGTAAGATACATTTTCTGTATAACAATAATCTGACTCAATATTATTGAGCTTTCTAGCTTCGGATACATGAGATGCAATGTGCTCCGAAAAGTTCAAACTGTTGCTATACCTTAAACCCGAGTCACGATCAGTGTCGAGAGATTTCAGTGTATGTTTGCGTATAGCCGGATTTAGGTTAAGGTAACGGCCAATGCGACTACATCCATTTTTGTCACTATTAAGTGGCAAATTCCACCAAACAGTCAATTCGTACAACTTGTTAATTTTTTCTTGGATTACTGCTGAAATATACCTTTTCTTTGTTGGGAGGAGAGAATGAATCAACCACTTTTAGGTCGTAGGCAAAAAGGAAAGGTTTAACATACTGAAAGAGGGAAAACATTTCATTGATAAAAAGTAACAAGAGTAATAGACCAAACACACTTCCTTGTATAACCCCATTGGTTACATTCACAGGTTTAGGGTAGCAAGATCCAAACTGGACGATTTGGCTACGTTCTTCTAAAACAGATTTCAGCCTAGACTAAAGAGAATTTTGTATGCCAAATGAAGAGAGTTTAAAAGAAGTTTGTGTTAAACACTATCTAAAGCCTTACGAAAATCGAAGTAAAGAATTACCACTGATGGACCAACATCTCTTCTCTGGGTAATTTGATCAAAAAATTTCAGGTGCTATGTGAAGCCCAAGATATAGATGAAACGAAAGAGACGAGAACTAGAAAGGCAAGTAAGCCTCATGTTGTTGGAACGTTGATGAGGTGAAGGCTGTTTGAACTCTATAGCGGACCTCGTATGAGCAACTTTGTACTTAGTCGCCTTCTCAGCTGGGGAAGAATTGGAAAATAAACTTGAATAACTACACGCAACTGATTTTTAGGGCCCATTCGGTCGTACAATACTGAAATCAGTTAAGGATCGCATAACAGTCAACGACATGTCAAAGTCAATGCAAGCGTTGGACGGACATTATCGAAAAGACCTACCTCTGACGCACAAGAACGAACAACCTAATAATAAGTAATTAGAATGGCTTAAACTTGGATCTTTGAAAGATGTGAAATTGTTCCAATGTTCAGCTATTGCTATAACTCGGTATATTGGACGAAATTGTGCTGAAAAGGCAAAAGGCAACTAGTATGAAAGACAAACATATCTTTTTTATCATCCTATCTTCCACTCCAATAGACAAGTCAATAATGGTGTTTGATTATATTGCTCAGTACACCGGGGCATCTTCAGATAAGAATCTTTATTCCGAAGCTAAATTAGTCATTAACTTTCAAAATGTCTTCACAAGGTTTCGGAGTCGACCAATAGATTTATAGCAGATATTGAATCTATTTCCTATGAAGTAGTAGTTCCACCACACAGTTGAAATGCTCCTATATATTTGCGATGGCCAGGAGAAGACCTAAAAATAACCAAAAATTCCTTAGTTAAATTGAAAAAAACAATATATGAATTCATCCATTAGAAATATTCAAAAATAAAAATTACTCGTCATTAAGATAGATTCAGTTTAGTGAGCAAGCAAATTTCATTGGAAACACTCTAATGTATGTAATCTCTGTCTAATATAAATAAGTAAGATCCTAATAATCCAAGGGGTAAAAATAATCTCATGGATTTTGTATATTGAGCCTTGGCCTTCACTTCTCTGGCTGTCTATTCAAATGAACTGTACTTTATCGTTCGAAGTAAATAAATGTCAAGTACTGTCAGTATTAAAAATAAATGGATTATAAATTCTCGCTGAACCTCATGTTCATTTCAAACCTCATATTAATTTGAGTTGTTGACGATATCTTCGACATTAGCTACTTTATTTTTCAATACCATACGTGTACATACAAATTCGATATCATCTGGGCGTCTTTGATACAAGAGTCTTATTCTCACATTTCTTACTGATTCTTAAGCTCGGGGTAGATGTATTAATTTTTCTGAATGCCAGATCTTCCTTTTTGTATAAACCACTGTTCTGGTTGTCTTACATTGACGTGCAATGCTGTTGAATGCTTCGTTACTGACTGTCCAAACGGTTGTGGGATGCGTATGCATTCGTGCAAGGTTGATGACCACTTGGATCAAATATGCCCCAAGACCATAGTCCCATGTATTAACAAAGAAGTCGGTTGTCCACACCTAATTTTTCGTGAGGACAAGTCATTTCATTTACTCAATTGTCCTGCTAGTGTTGTAAGCTGTAATGCTCGATGCCCCTTGCTTTTCAGGTGAGCTGTGTGATTAAGTTAATTTACCACAGTCTATATTCACAAATTTCATTGTACGATCTGACCCATTTTATTCCAAACTACTGTCACCTGATTTCTCGGCATGACTATAATTTATGGACGAACCGATTAGATTTGTGATAACATGTTTTATATTTCAGCGCGAAATTCATTCACCCATCAGGCTTAATGGCGCTTTGGCATTATAGCTTATGCCAGTTCATGATGAACACCCTAAATCTAATTCTTAAAATTAATCATCAACTGGAAATCATAATCCAAATTCCTGACACTGGTTTATAACCCCTATTTGGTCCTAGTTATTAGGTGAACACTTTAGTGTCGCTCAAAGCTCGTCCATAAATAATAGTCTCACCCATTTTTCCAGTCATTATTCACGCCTAACTTGGTGGTAGCTAACTGGTTGGGTTGTTAATTATCACATGGGTCACTTATGGGGTGTCTGGTAGAGCTACCGTTTTGAGATAGATGTTTGAATGATATGTGGGAAAGTCAGTCCATCATTATACATCTTTAGTCTAATGCAGTTTTTTCAGCCACATTCCTGCCGTTCTGAGAACTTCACTAGCTAGGCTTACGTGAGAAAAATCTTAACTAGGTGGAAATAGTCCCATCGTTAAATACCATCACCTAGCTATCCTTAGATCTTTTCCATTGAATATATCTTAGGAGAGTTGTGTACTTTGACTTTCCGTGAAGGCAACAAACCAACGGTTGAGGTTAGTCAGCAAGTTATTTGCATCTTTTTCTACTGGTACAGAAACTTTCTAACATTCAGAAAGAGCTTGAAGTATATTTTCGGAAACTTCAAAAATTCAGTTCCATTATTTTCTGCCGATTAACATCAAGTTTTGAAACTGAGAGCTCAAAAAATATGACGGCGAATAATATACAGGCGAACAATATAGTTTACAATGATGTTTTCAAGCTTTAATCTAAGTTGCGGCAACGTCTATATCCACATGCAAAAAATAATAGATCAATCGAAGCCTTTAATGAGTAAATCATAACAAAATAGTATGCGTAACCGAACGTAAGAAGTAAAACTTACAAATCAATACTAAGATGGCAAATGTTTTAACGGTGATAAGAATAATATGAGCTTGAGTCACTGTTTGAATATATCAAGTGTTTCAAGGCTTGGATAGGTAGACATTTAAATAACAATCATTAAATATGATTATATATGGAAGGATATTTACAGAAAAATGTGATGTAAAACAAATTAACAAATGGTATGAAGAGTGATAATATGAAATCGTTAGTTAAGCGTTTCTCGTCTAAGGAAGGGGCAGAAGAATTACAAATCTCTTCTAAACTCATGGTTGCTCTTCCGAACCCCTGTGGCTTCTGGTTTACGCAAGAGACTAGATCAAACACGTTAGGGGGTGACAATATGTCTTAGACCACTCGGAATGATTTATTTTTACCACTCACATGGCCACTATCGACCAAGTGTAATGAAGCTACATACTGCCTGTATCCGACTAGCTCCAAATCACCCAGGGAGATGATCGCTCGTTCTTTGCTTTATTTGCTTGATGGAAAACCCAGTAGAGCTATCTCTTCAGGAGCAACGGAGTTTTGTAGATATAGATTCAAGCGGAAAAATTAAGTGACATATCCTCTATTTGGATAGACATTATTGATCGACTGAAAAATAAAAAAGAGTAATCATGTAGAAAGTCTTATTATATCTCGCAATACTCTATCATGTAGAACATCGTTAGCTACATCCCTTTGGATCACAGTTTAACACAAGAGGTTTATTATAAACAGTCCATACATTGAACTTCTTGTTTCCTTAGCAAACGTGCTTCTTTAAAATCTTAGTGGTTAGCCTGCTCCAGTCAGAATCTTATTAATAAAATCTAGGTCCTTTTTGTATCGTCTGAATAGATCATTTTCCTCTGTTCGAAAGATATAAGTATATTTCTTAACCTGTTTTTAAACCCCTGACGCTCCGTTGTTTAGCACAGATCGTAATAAAATTTTTAGATTAGTTGGTTATCATGATTTTGTACATGTCTTATTGTCAGATAAATCCTGAACAGGTGGTAACCGGTTAATCATGCTACTTTAAATTTAAGACTCAGTGACATGGTGATTAAGGCTATCGAGTTCCAGCTACTGAATCCTAGGTTCGAACTCTTCTCCACCTACTTCGGTTTGGAATACCAGATTGTTTTATTACTAGATCATACTTAATATGTGGCTCACTCCTAAGTACTTAATGAATGAGTTCATCTAATTGATTGAAGTTGAAAGCATTTAGCTTTGTCTACGGGAATAGTTAGTAATTGAAGTTAGTAATTCAATTATGATAATTATAATACTCAAATAAATGATTTGAATCATTTGAAGCATCCTATTTTTATTTGAACTACAAAATAATCGGTGGTATGTTACACCAAGCATGCATCACACAAAATTAGACTATTTTTGTGGAGAAAATTCCTAATAAAAGCTGGACATTGTAAAAGGCATAGTCCTGAAACGAACACTTAAAATCTGTTTTGTTTGAAGGTTCCTCATACTGTTGATAACCAATGTAATAGAAACCTACCTCGTAATTTACCCTGGTTTGTACTCCAAGCTATTTTCTCTAACGTTTCAAATTACTAAGTCTCACTGTCTTGAGGAAATCATATAAGAACTGTGACAATCGAATAACAGATTATCACATTTGTTTTTCATTTTTCTGCGCCTTATCATAAACTAACGAACTTTACGCGTTTCACACCAGTCTCAACGTAGGAAGTATGAAATTTGTTGGCACGACATGTAAAATCTAACCAAGTTTTAAACCCAATGTTTCTATATTGTAACATATCGAATTACTGTCTCTATAATGATTAGACAGGTTTAAGGATATCAGCGTCCACTACATGGTGTTGTCATTAGATAAGAAATATCCTTCGTATACAATGATTAAACACTGATGGTTATCTAAAGACATCACATAAAAGAGACAGTTGTACAAACTGAAAAAAACGTTCAGATCGCTACGTTTTACCATCTGACAATTTATGATCTAACTGAAGCTGATTGTGGTCCACATTGACATGAACCATTTCGGATATATTTGTAAATGGACAAATTTCATCTCAGTTATAGGCAACATCTGATCTGGCACAAATATACCAGTCCATGATGCACAGTTAGTGAGGAAATTAACAAAATAAAGTCAGATGATTTATAGTAATATTAAAAATAATGCGAACTAAATGTAAGAAAGTTAGTTCGAAGGGGACGAATGTGATATAGTACGGAATGACAAGATTCAACACTTAAAAGGATATAAAGAATAAACGGAAATGCGCCATTACAAATTTATGCTCTCACTTACGCATACCACTTCAATAGTCAACCGTGTTGGTGCATACCATATTTTCGTTTGGCGAGTTGTAGCTCCCTCTCTACTTACTCTTACGCTAACCTGTGTCTGGCTATTAAGTGTTAGCTAACTCTAGTGAAGTTAGCTTATGGTATTTTGTCACACAGTAACCGAGCTATAACCTCACCAGTTGTCTATACAGTACGTAATAATAATTAGTCAGTAACAACATGAATCTTCGTACGTACGTACATCAGTTCGAGTTGCCATATCACATTAGCACACAGATACAATTGTCGATTCAAATCCCATAGTGGTAGAGATAGTAAAAGTATAAGCAGTAATCGGAAAGATTAAGGTTTGACGATGTTATTCAAGGAGTATAATCCAGTGAAATAAATTTGGAAAGAGAAAAAAGGGGACATGAAGAATTCAGAAGATTAGAATTTGGTAGAACACAAAGAGTAGTAATAATAAGCATAATTAATTAACAGGGACATGAATCCATTATCTTGTTCTGCATGTTTCGCATTTATACCATTTAATATTATACTGTAATAGTGACTACACATGAATATATCAGAAATTGTCTCCAGTTAATGTTACCTTCAACATTTGTCTGTATTATTATTCCGTGCATTTTGTACTTAATTTTTGATGTGAACAATTTTTATAATTATATCTACTACTATGAATCTGGTGTTTATCTTGTGCTTATGAGGTCTGGCACCTTGAACCGATGCACATAAGTGCCTTGTTTTACGTTGTAGCTGATTGACTGACTGATAATTATGTCAGTCTGTCATAACCAATGTACGACCTAGTACAAATGTGCATCGGCCCAAGCTGGTATACTACACCATAGCGAAATGAAATTAACAAGATATATGATAAAAAAAACCCGAAATAATGAAGTTCAGATCGTAGTACTATATGATAAACGCTCTGAAGGAGTTTTATTCAAATCACAAATCGATCTTAGATAATCATCAGTTCGTGATCCCAATAAAATTCAACAATCTCCATAATTTGATACTGGTAACTAAAAATGGTTGCTAATATGACTGTTTGGTGTGCTTGTTTTAAAATAAGCCTAATGCTATCCATCTACAGATGGCTTTCTACTATTTTTCAGCTACAATATTTTTCAAGTCTGGTATACTACTATATAGTTTTCAAAATCCTCACAGACCTGTAAATCCAATTTATTCGTAGAAACGTTTAAGAACATTTATAGACATTCGAAATTAAACGTGATAGCAACTTTTTGAAATGTAGTCTGTGCATTTTTTTAAAAAAAAGGTTCATTCATACTTATGTACACGTGACTAGAGTTATTTTGTATCGCTTTTTCCTTAGATTTTTTGTGGTTGTATTTTTTTTCAATTTGATATTTCAACTTAGGCAAACACAGAAAAAATCTACTTCTCCAGTAACCTGTACTGTGAATCCGATTATTCATTATGCTTCTTGTAATTCATATGTTTACCGACCAATTAATTCACCTCTGTTGGGGGTCGATTTTGGCAAGTTATTTTAATTACATTTTTCTACTCATAATTTCTCTATTGATTTTCTACTGCTGTTTATCACTAGTGAACTAACTTTGTTGATTTCACTTTGATTATTGCTACTTCACAGAGTATTCGGAATATTATATCACGTTCTCATATACTACTGATTCATTAATACACTTTCTAACATGGATAATTTCTTATTTAAATGAATTCTATAATATACTCCACAACTAGTTGAATTATAGGTCGTAAATTAAAGGTTTAATGACTGTATACTAGTTACTTTTCCGTTAATAAGAATATTTCTGCAAGGATCCTTCCAACAGCACGTACAACTAATTTCCTAGTAGTTTCTCTCCTCTGAAAATTTCATGGACTGATCATCAAACATTTCTGCACTAACTCTTCATTTGGTCTACAAAATTGTGACTTTATCTGTGAATTAATACGTATTTCTTCACCTACAAAACCTGTTAAATATAAACTTCGTTTTTCTTACCCATTTAAAATTGTAACCTCGCTATACACCAGTGATACCTATTATTGACATCAATAGTTGAAACTTCAGCACAAGATTAAGCGATCTTTGTAATTATCAACACTTTTCTTAGACTTCCTATGGACGAGAACAGTTCTTGGTATGGTATCGTCAGATAGTCTTAATCACTATTCAGATAGATGTCTTGAAATCTTTTAAGGGTTCATATTCATTTGCTTCTATCCCATCTCAGCTATTACGCATATTCCTTTAAATCATAATTTATTTATTGATCATATCTTCACCCTCCGCCAAGTGTTAGAACACCGTCATACTTATCAAAGGCCAACAATCGTAGTGTTTCTTGACATCAGGGATGCCTTCGATTCGTTGGATAGGACTGTTCTCTGGGATTGTCTATTGAAAAAGTGTGTGCCTGAGAAGTTTATTAACATCCTAAAGGTCCTATACACAAACACCTCGGGTAGACTGAGGGCATACGACCACCTCTCTCCATTGTTCCATTCAAGTAATGAAGTTGTACAGGGTTGTCCAATCTCATCATTACTCTTCAAATTTGCCATCGATGACATTCTGGAAACAGCTCTGATGGATGTAAGTAATGGTAGTGTGGACCTGTTGCCTAGAGGAAGACTTCTCGACCTTGAGTATGCAGATGATATTGTCTTAGTCAGTTGGCAATCAATGTCTGTAGGTATGGTATGTGCTTTGCACCTTCGAAGTGCAAAGTACTTCTACAAGACTGACAAGATTCTAATCCTGTACTCACCCTGGATGGTGAGCAGATAGACGTAGTCGAGAAATTCGTGTATCTGGGTAGCTGCATAAGTGCTGGTGGGGGTGTGAGTGATGAGATCAATGCACGAATAGTGAAAGCCAGAGCGGCTTATGTCAATTTGGGTCACCTTTGGCACCGTGATGTTAGTCTGGCTGTAAAAGGTCGGATGTACAAGGAGTCGGTGAGAGCAGTTTTGCTCTATGCTTGTGAAACCTGGCCTCTCCGAGTTGAGGACGTTAGACGACTCTGTGTTCGATCATCACTGTGTCCGAAGGATTGCTAACATCCAGTGGCAACACCATGTCAGTAATGCAGAGGTTCAGCATAGTGTGTTCGGGCACAGTGATGATAATGCAATCGATGTCACCATCTTGAAACACCGACTTCGGTGGCTCAAACATGTTCTACGAATGTCGTCCCAGAGAATTCCTCGCCGTGCATTATTTGCCGACACTGGGACTGGTTGGAAAAGGTGGAGAGGTGGTCAACGTATGACATGGTGTCGTGGCATGAAAGAAAGCTGCAAAGAACTGGCTTCTGATGGACCTTCACGACTCCCTGGTTGGGGTCCGAGAGATGGTGTGACACAGTAGCTAGAGACGTTATCAGATTATGGCTCAGAATAGAAGCCAGTGGCGATCCTGCTATAACCTTTTTTTACTTTCTTCAGAAAAAAGTGGTTGTGTCTCCCTTAACTGAAAGATTTCTTCTGATTGTACCTTTCCGTTCCCTCATTATTACTACACTACATTATACCAATCTCTTCGTTGTCGTTCTCTTTTTTTTATGCTCCTTACCTTTTTTTTCTCTTCGAATCCTCATTGTTTTGTTTGGCGCGTATATATTGGCGCTCTCCTGTACCAATATTTATGTGTTCAAATAAATAAATAACCTGAATGAATCCTGTTTTATGCCAATTACTGTTCTGTTTATATCATTTAGATTTTTTCTAAACTGTTCGTATATACACTTCATGTTCGTGTACACATTCTTTATTATGTTTGATGTACAGATACCAATCAGCGAACTTTTACAAATCAAACTGATGGTCATATAACCAATGTATTAAAATTGATCGATGAGGAACAAGTTGATAAAACACTAAGCAGCGGTTTTGTAGAATCACCATTATCATCCTACATGTGCGACCATGTAAGTGCATTGATTGTTGTCGATAATTGTTAAAAATAAAAATAAAATATTTTTATTTATAACAATCAACCCAATGCTCAATTTATTCGAAATTATCAAATCAAACCTTGGTAATGATAATTGTTATGTTGAACATGTTGCAAAAAGTAATAGAGTAAATTGATTAGTGCAATTTCACAACGATATTACCGGCATAAATTATATTTTCCCCATAAAATATTTTTAACGTTTTATTTTATACGACCAGAAAGAAATTGTGTTGTTTTCTTCAGTGAAATGAGACGCCTAGTAAACAATACGCACATGTATATGTACCACATGATCTTTCCAAAAAACACTGCAGTCACATACTATATACCTGAAAATAACTCTGGGATATTTAAAAAAGATTGCCAAAAGTCCGAAATAAATAAAAGACAACCAAAATATTGTTTGTATCCAAACTGAATAATACATAGTAAAGGTGACGAAGTATATATCAAGAGAAAGCTATTTTGAGATAATAAGGATATTACTAGTGTTTTGTATATCAAGTTTTATATTCCTACTGTTTAGCACATTTCATGTTGTTAAAGATAGTAAAGAACCTTGTACTTGATTTCCACATTGATTTGGAATTGCCAGTAAGTTGTACCTACAATTTCGAGGGAACTAATATTCACTATAGAATTCACACCTTACGAATAAGCTTATCACCTAACAATAGGATTTTTTTATCTATACAGTTTGTCATATATATATATATATATATATATATATATATATATATATATATATATATATATATATATATATATGCTTTACCGTTACATTATTTGCTGATTTTTAAGTTAACAAAATTATATAGTATGCATCATACTTACTGTATGTGTGTTTATTGTACACTTAATATGAGGTTTATGCCATCTAATTATATTAATCCACATTTGTAGTATGTTTTCAAAAGTTTGCACCTTTGAATGCTACTACAATTGTCTTGAAGAGAGTTGTATTGTTCTTGGGTTCGATGTAATTACTATTAAACATTTTGATTCCGGGTATTATTATATTTAGTCAGTTTTTAACTAGTCATCCAAGTTTGACAATAGCTAATGAAGTTATGGCCATTTTTCATAATAAAATACAGTATCATAAGACTAGTTTATCCACTTATAAAACACTTTACCTCTTGTTACAACTTCAAACAGCCTCTGAAATTGGTTGAACAGTAGGATTTAGAACACTGCAATGTAAACACTCGATCATCAGTTAGTGGGACATAAACTAGTACACATCTGGCTTAATTAACTTAAGCTTATAACATCAAATCTCTAAATTATTTACATGTTAGTGAAGTTAAACTCGGACAATACTAAAAACAAACATTAAAAGTCGAAATAATTTAAACCCTATAATCGACTTGACCTTGTAAACTACCACGCCAATGCTCCAACTATGTTAGCTGATATCCAAACTCTAATTAACTTAACATAATTCCTTTTCCTACGAGCACCAATTAAAAGACAAGAATAAGACAGCTGGTCTCATTTCTGTATCTGACTCGAAAATTTACACAATTAAGTACATGAGTTATTGGACTGCAACGCCTCATAAATACGAGGTTACAATATGTACCAAACATAATCATTTTAAAAATAAATTCGGAATAATGGGCATACAATTAATTTAAAGTGATATGAGAACAGAAGAAGATATGACAACAATTAATAAGTCATATGAAAGTTTGCAGTTAGAACATAAATATCACATAAGTTTCAGTAAAATACACTAGAAAATTTGCACAGTGACATACCCAGAAAATCATTCGAAGTTTTTCATTCTCTCTAGTCTGTCTCGTCCCAACATGTGTATTAATCGAATGCTATTAATCCGCGATCACCATGCAGTCGAAGATCTGAAACTTTTGTTAAAGTATTTATTAACTTTAAATTGTTTATATATATCACCCATTTTTCTCTTGTGCATTTTGTTGATGATACATGTTATCATATATATTCTAACAAATCAATTTCCATCCATTTATAGCCAGGATATATTTGCGGTTGTACAGTTCAAAGAACAAATTATGGATCACACTATCAGTTGCATAGTAATGTGCAAGCGCAATTAGACGGATGGATTGAACTTCGTTGTCCATTGTCTTTTTTAGGTTGTAAATTTGCCGTAGTTAATCTTCGTCCTAATAGTGAATATAATCATTTATTGTATAATCCAACTCTTGCTACATTTACAACGCGGTATGAATCAGAAACTAATCAACATAATATACTTACTCATCATTCAGAATTAACAAATAGTGAATGTTTTAATTTTGATCAGTTGCCTGCAGAACTTTTAATTTATTTATCTTTTTTCTTAGATGACATGTCTTTACTTTGTTTATCTAAAGTTTCTAACCGATTATCTACCGTATATAAAAATATTCTTTGTGCAAGGTTAATTGTCACACCACAATGGGATAAAGTTCATCACAAATCATCAGATTTATTCTCTTGGCGTATTACAGGATTTTTGTGGTCTTTTCCACATCGTGCTGAATCTATCAAAGGATGGAGATCTGCACATGGTGCATCAGCTAGATCAAAGATTTCAGCTCATTTAACCAGTTGTCATTATAACGACAAAACCATACGTGTATTTCCATTCTGTTATTTGGAATGAATAATAACTTAAATAACAAAAATAATAGGTTTATTAGCAAGACATCTTTAATTCTATCTACTTCCTTACTACTATAATAGGTAGTGTAATCGCTCATTTGTGAAATATCTTAAGTAATACTACACAATTATATATAACCAAACTAGATTACTTCTAATCATTCGAATGTCTTATGCTGTTTTCTTTCTGAAATCGTACTAAAATAACCATCAACTATCCTATTCACTATTAAACTACTTTAGATAAATAGGTGATCCTCTTAGTACTATCTACTTTCCAACACACACACACACATAGCATGCCATTATTATGTGACGATGAGCAGTATAAGACTTTACGTTTTTTGAAAAATCATTGACTTATAGATGTTTTCATCGAACTATTTTTTGTTTCACTTCTGTTTAAGTTGTATTACGTACAATAATAAAGTACCTGTATAAATTCTTGTATGTATATACATATGTATTTGCACGTATATAATATAATATATCATTCATTATCCAAAGTTATTTATCTGGAAATTAAATTAATTTACTTTTCTAGAATACTTGATAGATATAATCTTATCAACACTAAACGTCAACATATATTGACCAGTCTGGTATTTGCTCCAGTCAAAAGATTACTTTGTCCTTCAATAATCCGGTGTTTATATCGTCAGTTGTACCTGAGTCATGTTAGAACTGACCAACATTCCTGCTATTACGTATGCCCGACCACTGCCTACCGCAAAGGGCGATTCTTTATGGTGTAAGGGTAGGCTGGAAGAATTTTAGGGGTGGTCAGATCAAAATATGGCATCAGTCGATGAAGTCATTGACAGTTGAGCTGAGTTATACCAACAAGTGTAGACTTCCTAGTCGGGGTCTGCGTGGTTATCGCAACCAAAGGTTAGAGACTTTGAATGACATGGCTCAAAATCGTTTATGATGGTACAGGTGCATCCGTTCGTTGCCTTCTTAAAATTCTAAATTCCTCATAACTTTTTTTGTTTTTATTCCACTAATTTACATTTTTGCGAATCGCATCTTCAATGCCTAATCTTTCCAATTACCACTGATACTGTTACTACCCCTACTATCTTGGGAATTGGTCTGACAATTTTACCTCTCTGTGCTAACGTGTGTTTACTTGAACCAATGCACATATGTTCCAGCCTGTATGTTGTGATTCACTCACTAGCTGATAATTATCCTGGATTTTACTAACCCACTTTGTTGATTACTATTGATGTGTCGGTTGCTACCATTCATATAGGCTATCGTAGGGAAAGTAAAGGGAGTGAGAATATGGAAATAAGAAATTTAGTTCAGTAATACTTGTTAGGTAGAATTAAGATTCACGCAGGTTTACTTATGTCAGATTCCTCTTACCCTTGTAGTATTTATTTGCTGTACTTTTCAGTTTTTTAAACAAGGGAACTATAATACAATAATTAGCCACCGATATTGTTTAGATGTTGTATCCGATAGCATATAGTCAGTTGCATTAGACATGATTGATTTCGGTATGGATATTAAGATTGCCTGGGATTCAGCAACATAAGACTCGTCTAGTAAGTGGTGAATATATTGTAAGGTATTCTTTTGTAAGGCATGTTGCGTCTTTGCAAAATTAAACGGACCAACTTTCTCACTAGCTTTTGATAAACCGTAAACAAACACAGTTGAGTGCATCACAGTGGACCGGTATGTTATCCTGATGGATGTTACTAACAGTAAGCTACGATATGTATAGATCATACAATTATCCCATATATTTTAGATTAGAGTAGGAACTGTCTTTTTTTCATGTATATATTTGTCGTACATAACTGTGTTCGTGGTCATAATTTGATAACAATTAATTATTTTCCACATTAAGCGGTAATATTTTTAGCCGAAATCATATATTCCCAACTGAAAGATAACATATTTCTATTTAAACATTAAGAATTAAAAACACGAAACTCAGCGAAACGATCTCTTTTCAACGAATTTATTATCAAGCAGTACAATCATATATGTATGAAAATTTTATGTCCAAGTACTAATTCCGTGAGGAAATGCGAACACATATAACCAGTATAACGTAATATGAATAATAATAGATCTAGTGAATATAATAAGATGATTAAAATGTTTTTGTTACAATAATTAAAGGTCATAGAGGTTTAAAAATAAATAAGGTGATATGATGAGTATTTATGAATAAAACGAGAATATAAGACTTAAGTAAAGGGGAATGCAATAATAATAAAAATTATATTAATTAGGGCCAAAATAACGATAAGACGTACTTCTTTTGTACACGTAGTTCTAGTTTGAGCTCGTGGATGGGAAGAGCTTCGATTATTTATTAGGAGTTGAATACGGAGAAGTCTAGGTAGATTTGGACGAACTATATAAACAACCTTAAAATCAAACTATGAATCCGTAGAATGATTACAGACGATTAGGTGTCCAAGTATACAACTAACTGCTTTCCCTTCATCCTTGTAGAACCAGACTGGAACATAGTCTCGTATTCGAGTTGAAAGCGAGCGCTGGCTACGGCTAATGTGTCTTGCTCCACAAGAGCAGGTGGACTAGTAGATGCACATGGAGGCAACCAAACGTGGAAGCTTAACTTTTATGGATACAGAAAATAAGTTCCTACTGGTGAAGGTAATTCGCAATTTTGCCGCATTAAATGTTCTTTAAGTCGCTGTCGTTAGGCGATTTTTGATTACGTCAGACGTTCAATCCCCCTTAAATTCCAGATTTATAAAGAGGTTTTCCTTTGGGACCGAACACCTAGATTTTGTGTGGCAACTACCTTGGCCTTAATATTATTTTATCATTACTATTACTACTGCATTCCCCTTTAATTACGTCATATTCTCATTATTTTATTCATAATCATGTCACCTTATTTATTTTTACACCTCTAAGACCTTTAATTAATGTAACAAAAACATTTTACAAGTTGAAATCATGAGTCAATTGAAGCTAGACCACCATGGGAAACCTGAAATCACTGAACGGCCGTTTCATTCTGGCATGGGACTCCTCAACAGTGGTCTAATGGCTAAGTGCTCGCGCACGAAACCAGTAGGTCCTGGGTTCGAATCCCGCGAGGTGCGGGGTTGTGGATGCGCACTGCTGAGGGGTCCCATACCAGGACGAAACGGCCGTCCAATGCTTCCAGGTTCTCTATGGTGGTTTAGCTTCAATTGACCCATGACTCCAACTTGTGAAATTTCTAAAAATCTCCACAAAACCCATTCTGATAATAATAAAAACATTTTAATCATTTTATTATATTCACTAAATCTACTGTTATTATTCTTGTAACGTAGTCTAGTGTCACAATCTTTCTATTACGTCATCTTGGTTATTCGTGTTCGCATTTTCCTCAGGGAATTAGTACTTTAACAAAAAATTTCATATATATACGATTGTACAGCTGGATATCTTGGGAAAGTTGCATTTATTCTGTCTTTTATTTATTTACGTTACTCTTGTTGTATTAAGAAACTTGTTAAATTATGACAAAGGGATCTTATATTTTGTCTGTTATTTTCATCTTGTCATGATAACCTGATATGGCAACTTAGATCAGTGCAAATATGTACGAGAACCTACACTGGTGGTGTCTGACCAAGTGATGCATGCAATTGTTATGATGAGTGTCTTATGAACTATAAAGTACACAAAAATTTCGTAAATGTCTGATTTTAGATTATTATCAACTTTGTTTAATATTTTCATAATAATGTTTACTATGAAATACATACGTAAATAATTTCCATATACACTTATCACGTATTCACATCGGCTTGGAAACCATAAAAACCCAGGGGAAACATTTTCTGACCCAATATGTCGCTAATTCCCATTAAATATTCATGAGACTTGTTGTTCTGTTCTAAATTTCTATACTTGTTTTTTTCACAGTCAGTGTAAATAAACATACGATTTATGTCAGTATAATAGAGGTACAGACAGTTCGTATTTTTGTTGTCTTCAATTGTTTAATCATGTGCTTAAGCTTATTATTTTGTGTCGTACAAACGTACACTGGCATATTTTGGCAATGTAAATATTATAAAATCTATTCAAATAACTGAGCTAAGACTTACATTCATGTCAATTGACGTAACCTTTGGTTTGTTTGGTAAAAAAAATATTTTGCTTTGTAGACAGTTACATAAATGATGTGTTTTAGATAAAGACGCATAATATTTAAGTTAATTGTAGGCAATTGAGTTTACTTTAACAAACCTTAACATAATTTTCCTATTTAAAAACCACATATGAACATACACGACTCAATCAGTGTGAGATAATGACAGAAATATGTGGATTTAACAACAAAAATAAAACAATTATATATTATTAAAATTATTTTACGTATTTTTTAGTTAGATTATCAATCAAGTTTCGAATAAACTTTAACTCCAACGATCTTATCACTGATTATTCAACAACTCGTAACTAGTCTGAGCACTAATAAAAGTACAACGTATATTTCGAGGTATTAAGCGCATGTTTATTAGATTATAGTGAAAATTTTCATTTTGCCATTTGGTAAATAAAGAAGGAACGAATTGGGCGAAGAAATTTCTTTTCAATTAGTTTTTCATCATGTAATTATTACGTAACGTAATATAATACTCATCGAATGGATACGTTACGTAATAAGTACATAATGACATTTAAATTATCATTGAGTAATTGGAAAAAAGAGAATTATTAATATTCAAAGTCATCAAGAAGTTGCTACGTTGCGTAATATAAGAAACAAAGAAGGAACAGAATTTTAACGAATGGTCAATAGGATAAAAGTTACGTAGAAATCAAGAGATGAATGTTGAGAAGTTATAAGGTTCAAAAGCAAAAGGCGCACTCGTAAACCATCAAATCTACCACATGGTTTACAAGTGCGTCTTTTGCACATTGCGGAAGCCATCGCAATCAATATTCACAAACCTGACCTTTGCATCCAAAAGAAATTTGTACAACCACTTTTTCTGCCCTGGCCTTCAGTCTAAAATTTCCGTCATAAGAACTATTTTCCATACTTCTTTTTTTTAAAATTTCGTTTCTATTGCTTTTGAACCTTACAACTTCTCAACATTCATCTCTTGATTTTTACGTAACACAATAGTTTCAGATAACGGATCACTTGTCTGAAGTCATTTCCAAGAATTCTACAACTGACAACCCACCACACATTCCCTCACCGCCATACCACTCCTAGTTACATGGACAGGCAAAAACGTTTTGGGGCACCTTTAAAATTGTTATTTATTTATTTATTTTTACACATAGATATTGGTACAAGGAGGCACCAAATACATATGCGCCACACAAATCCCATTTGATATGTGTGAGGGCCGTGATACTGCTTCGCGTACCCAAACCGAAGCAGGAATTACAATGAGCATAGTAATGTCCATGATAATGATGGCCTACGGTATCCGCGAGTCATATAAGCGCAACAAATTTATGACATTATTTTAAAGCACCAACTGTAAAACTTGTTTGTTATAGCTTGCGAAAGCTACGTTGTCACTGCATACCACTGTCGGCCCGTCTGATCAAGAACCAGATATTAGTAACACAAGACATTCTAATACACGACAGGAATAAAGACCCACCACAACATAAAATTAGTGACCCAAATAGGATGTGCTAAAGGTATTTTTGTCGCCTTTGCTCTGTTAAACACACAATATTTGATCACATCATTTATGTTTGTTTTCCTTTCTATCTGCTTATTAATTAGTAGTAGCGCAACTGAATGAAGTACACCAGTTTTATTGCCGTTCTTATATTTCAAGTAAATCCTGAGAGTTTGTCATTCCTTGAATTCAAATCTATCTAGTTAAATGACAATCCGATATTTTTCGATAACTAGTTTCGAGGTACATTTTCAATTTTTTGATGAAAAGTTAACACCTGCAGAGCTAACCAGGCCGAAATTATCAAAGCAGTTCAACAAAAGCATTAATCCGAGGATTATAGCATATTGCATATTGACGAAAGCCAAGGTACAGTGCCGGATTCTCTAGTAGTGGCTTGAAAGTATTGTGGTTACGAAGAAAGCTGATAGTCCAAGGCTCCATTTTATATGGGATCATGGGGGAGCTACGATGTTTCAAGCTAGGATGCAACAACTATCTAGGTGTGTTTTCTCTTAATTGTTGGAGGAAATCGTCCCCAAGTTTCCCTCCATTTGATCCAAAAACTACACACAATACGCATGGAGATTAGGTTCACACAACAACTACTTTTCGAAACCAATCTAGCTTTCAGCGTGAAAACGGTGACAAGATAAATTTTTCCATCGAAATGTTGTAGTAATCAAAAAGCCAGATTCCCGAGTAAGTTTTTCTCCGCTACAAATACAAAAAATAAAGATAACACTAGCAGACTCGTGACGGTTTTCTAGACTGAATGCAGATTATACTCTTTTTGAGAAGAAAAAATAGCGAAAATTCTAGAGTTTTATCATTCACATAACTTTGTGTCTTCTGTTGCATTAAGCCTTTAGTGCTGCTTTTGTGTGTTCTTGTTGAAGTTTTTGTTGTAATTTGCTTATCTGTTCCCGGCAATTCTCCTGCTGTTTTTCCAATTCTTTTATCCTGTCATCGTGACGTTTTCTAAAATGCCGGATGAATATGACAACTGAGTTCTTACATTTCAGATGTTATGTAGCTTATCCTTTTACTGACTGTTTCTTTAGCTTCAGCTAAGTCCTGTTTGACTAAAACTGGACCAACAAGTTTGTATATAGCATTAGATTCATTCAATAACCCAAAGTCTTCAATAACGTTTTCATTTTCAGAAAGTTGGGCAGATAACTGACGATGAAGCTGGAAAATCTTCTGTATTTCTTTTTGGATACCTTGTGCTTTTTCTATTTCTGCATTCAACCGCTTATAAACAGGCTCCATCGCCTAATTTGTGTAACGAAGTATTTACTTGATATTTGGAGAGTTGTATGGATCAGTTGAAGGCTAGGGTTATACAAAAAAGAAATTGGTAACCGGCAATTTGTAATTTGGATATACAGAACATCTTAATTAAAAAAAACCAGCACTTACGATAAACATAACAAAAATAGGACTTGGGAAATAATCAACAGTTAGCATCTGAAATATAATTTTTATTATGGGTCAAATTGTACCGGCCTTATTGTTTCCAAATTAATTTACATAGTGCCGGATATTTGATTTCCCATCTAAATAACTGTAATAATCACTTAATTTCTTATTCATATATCAAGGCATATATGCCTTGTGTACCAAAATGCTTAGACTTGATATATTACATAAAACTGCAAGAAGTTGGTTTAAAGGTTAAACATTGCAACAGAACTTGGAAATCCTGGGTTCAAATCCACATTTAGAATCATGAGTGCACACAGCTGAGAAACAGCATAATGTGACGAGACCACAGTTTAGTGTTTTCTGGCTTTCAACGATTGTATAAGACCAGTTTATAATGCAAACTATAAAACAGGATTTTTAAATAAGGAGAGAAACGATGACGAATATCTTCGATATTGTTTAAACACAAGTTAAGTAACGTGTCTACAATAAATATGGACCGAGAAGCCTGATGGTCGGAGCAGGTCAATGAGTTTGTTGCCTGGAGAAAGACTTCTCAACCTTGAGGATGCGGATGATATTGTCTTAATACCCAAGCCATGCGATCCGCACTCAATCAGTTGGCAATTAATGTCCGTAGGTATGGTATGTGCCTTCACCTTCGAAGTGCAAAGTACTTCTACAAGACTGGCAGGACCCTGATCCTGCACTCACCATGGGTAGTGAGCAGATAGAATTAGTCGAGAAGTTCGTATATCTGGGTAGCTGCATAAGTGCTAGTGGTGGCGTGAATGATCAGATCGATTTGCGTATAGTGAAAACCAGAGTGACTTATGCCAATCGGGGCCATCTTTGACACCGTCATGTTAGTCTGGCTGTCAAAGATCGGACTCACAACGCATCGGTGAGAGCAGTTTGGTGGTATGCTTATGAGACCTGACCTCTTGGAGTTGAGGATGTTAGACAACTCTCTGTGTTTGATCATCATTGTCTCCGAAGGATTGCTGACATCCAGTGAATTACCATATTAGTAATGTAGAGGTTCAGCATCGTGTGTTCGGGCACAGCGACATGGTGCTGTGGCATGAAAGAAAGCTGTACATGATTGGCTCCTGTTGGTCCTTTACGACTCCCTGGTTGGGGTCCCAGAGATTCTGCAACAGTGGCTTGGTGCGTTATTAGACACAGATTAGAAGCCAGTGGCGATCCTTCTGTAACTTTCTTTATAAAAATTGTCAATTCTTTGAATGAAAGAATTCTTTTTCCTAACTGAACTCTTTCTCCTATTATTATTTCATACTCATACTAATTTCTGTTCGTTGTTCATTTTTTTATTATACGCACTTTACATTATCTATTTCTTCAGAGTTTCATTGTTATCATGTGGAGTATATGTATTTGGTACCCTTTGTACCAATATTTATGTATTCAAATAAATGAACAAATCTGGATTAGTTCCACACTTTATATGAATACAGGCGGAAAATCAACAGAATAAAAGCAAGGGTAAAAAACAGTACTGCTAATTACAGCAGAAAACTGAACTTAAGAAATATGAATAAGAATAAAACCGGAAAGTGAAAAGTATTGAATAGGAATGAAGGTTAGGATGGGAAGGGACAAAAAGAATAAGTGAGTTTGTACTAGAATGAACCTAGTTAGAAACCAAGTACTTGGTTACACTGCTTAGACCAGCAATAAACGTCTTTTCAGATTGATGTCATGTACTGACTGAAATGCTTTAAAAACTCTTTCACCTAGGTTACCGCTACCTAATTCTCTAATCCCAACATGTGTCGCTTTTATTGTCATCATTATCATTATTTAAGCACGTAAAATCCAGTACAATAAAGGACCAAAAGTAGAATTAATCACATAAAGTACAGTTTTCTCCGGTTAACAATACAAAAGAAACAACCCAAAAATATTTCAGTTAAAAAAGTTCCTCTTACATTTATGAAGAATGTGAGGGAAAATTACAGAATTATCTCTACTTGTTGCTACATTGACCTGTCCGACGTCTTAAACCACTGAGTTGCACCGAATGTACGACCGGAAGCAAGTCCAAATGGACTGACGGATGCCACTTCTATACGTTTTCTCCACAGACTCTGGAGCCGTTTCATAAACTGACCACTTATCCGCTTCTTTCAATCAGTCCCAGAGTCTATGTGAAAGTTGCTGAGATTACAATAGTAAAACACGTCCAAGACAGCAGTCAGTGTTCCAAAGTAGTAAAACTAATCGAGATATCACAACTGAACCCGAGAACACATCCCCGAACTTCGGCATTACTGATAAGGTTGCCGCTGGATGATAGAAATCCTTCGGTGACAATTTGGATCGAATAGTCACAAACCACTAACTAGGTCATGTTTCAAGAATAGGGCGAGACTCTTCTCACCGACACATTACAGACCCGGTTTTTCATAACCAGAATAACATTACGACGGCATCGAAAATAGCCCAGATCGTTACTCACCCCACCACCAACGCTCACACAACTACCAAAGTATACGAGTTTTTTTGACAATTTCTAATGACTGTTCACCAAGAGCAAGTGCAGGCATAGGATTCTGGCAATCTTTTAAAATTACTGTTTCTAGAAGGTGAAAAGCGCTTACCATACCTATGGACATCGGTTGTATTTTTCTCTTGCTAGATAACTACCATAAGAAATCAATGTACTGAAAGTACCTTCTACTGAAAACTGGAAACCTAGGCGTGTCATCAATAAACATGCTTTAAGACGATACCGTTCATTAATTAATGGTCATTACTAAATGGAAACATATGCCGATTCCAGAACAATTTACCCCACCAAAAAATCACATAATTTATATAGAAGAGCTGAAATTTAATAGAGAGCCGACGAACATTGTTTGCTTAGGTGTTTCGAAAAAGATAGTGGGAATTTGACCGATATTTTTATCCAGCTTTGCATATGAAATCCTTACTTTTGTAGTAGTTTGTCCTAGATTTTAAAAATAAGTAATCTAACCTTTTAAGTCCCGGGAGATGGAATGAGACTTTATGACTGCAGCACGAAACATGATTTTGAATTCCGTTACTCACTAACGGCGTTATAGACAAGTTTAGCTGATAATGGTGTGTTGATTTAAAAAAATTCCCGATGCCAGAGGGGATATATCAGTTGACTATCACATAAAAACCTCCCAAGAACAAACGAAATACTTTGAAAAACACAGGACATATAGTCAATAAGAATTATGATGTACCATTGAGAAACAAGTTTGAAAACTCAATAAGACTCTAGTAATAGACTAATGTACAAATTATGAACCTTCAACTGGAGATGTATAGAACACCCAAATAACTGTATAGTGGAATAACTGGAATGTTTATATAGTGACGCATTTCCAAAAGAAGTAAACAGTGGTGTTAGACAGTCAGAGGTAAATGGTGACTACACTGATACTTAACTGATAGTTTTCTATCAGCACTAAAGGACCAGGCAAGCATGACACTGGTTACTACTCTGTGATCAATCAATTGTACAAGTAAGCACTGCCCCCTGTGGATTAACTACCTTTAAAATGTCTTTACACAGGAACTACCCAAGAAGACAAAATTAGTCACCGAACCACTGCCACGGAAAAAACTGTAATGGGGATTAGCCATGATGATGTATTTCTAAACTAGATGAAAACAGAGTATGTTAACTAAAAGCTGTTTGATTCGAAAACACTACTTAATAGAGGAATCCAGGTGAAGGCTCTGAGCACAAATTTCTACAGGCAATTGACCTCCCTGGTCTAGTGCATTCATAAATTGTATTGTATACCAAAGATATCACGATATTGAGGTGTACATCAAACTAGGACGGCAGCGTTAAGGCCCAGAAAATACAACCAAATAACAAAACAAGTCTGAATTCTGGAGCCAAAGATATTGTTGGTAATCTCCAACATAGTTCACGCTAACCATCAAGGTACTCATAAGTAGATATTTAATAACACCAAATTAATTTTTGTCCAAGTAGTGATCTAGGAGTTATAAAAAGTCAACGCTTTCAAACCACTGTAACTTGTCGATCAGTAACTCAGAAAACTTTTAGGATCATTTAAACTATATGTACAGCATTTAGTCACTTACATGCAAAGACTATACATGCTTTTCGTAAACCCCATTACTGTATGCACTCAGCTACTCCATGACTGACAAACACTAATGAACTGGAATAGGTTCAGAGAGCAGTTTTCTGAAACCTTAAAAACTGTGTATGACAACAAATCAGCCAAATATTAACCCTTCCACAACATTTGGGACCTGAGGTGATTATCACAATTTTCAAACAATTTAATGGTTATTTCCCAATAGGCAATCATATTTATCCTTACAGAACACAGTAAACCTTGAAAGATATGAAAGTCCAGAAACCATCAGATCATCTGCAAGTGAATTTATTTCACTTAGGATATGGTTACAGCTATTTCACTACATGTACTCAGTGTTAGTTCAATCAACAGACCATTACCAACAGAACTAACATTTGACTTTCACTCTTTTCAATAACATGTCTCTAAATCGTCCGCAATGGCGAAGGTGCTTTCACCTAGTCCTCCATCAGATCCTAGTCTTCTAAATTTCTTTATAATTCCAGTAATTTATGGTTCTTAAATTGCATGTTGGATGGCTAGTTTTTCTACTTCCAACAATACAGTTATTACCTCTACTACTTTCGAATTTGATCTGACGATTTGACCTTGCTGTGCTAATGGAATATGGTAACTTGAACCGATGTACACACGTGTCAAGTCCTATTTTGCGTTTAACTGACTTTTATTCTTTAACCCGTCTTAAATTTGAGTAGATAAACTACTCTAAACATAAGACAGCGAACTATTTCAGTTACGTTTCAAGCAAACTGAGGAGTATCTAGCTTGTATCAGAACTTCGTCACTGCTGGTAATCCATTGTACTTTACAACTAAGCCGAATGTCATAGTTACCGCGATCCAAAAATCAGGACCGAAGTCCACTAATATAGTTAGAGATGAAGTCGTAAATCACTAAACAGGTGAAGATACTACGCAAACCATTAAGAAAGCCGTGAAGAATGCTTCAAGAACGTGCTGCTTGTGTGCATAACACGGCTCTAGAAACTTCTTAATCGATGATAAACCAGCTAGCGATGGGAAATCAATCTCTGACATAATTTCAGTCTATAAGAGAATATGGACCTCCTGAAAAAAGTTCTGTGCATATAAAACTCTAAAAATGCTTAGCTTATCGTACGATAGATGGCCGTGACCTTTGAAGATGTCCATAAAATAGGGAGATTGGGCAAGTGGTGGACCCAGATGTTTTTGTTCCATATTATGCACTGGAACAGAAACCTTATCTAGGTTCACAACTTATTACATTTATCAAGGTTCAAACGTTATTCATCTCTATTCACATCAATGAGCTTAAATACATACATAAAAGGCGCATACAATATGCAAACGCGCGGAAAATCAAGCCGAGCGCCAGTCAGTGTGCGTAGGTCGAAACGTCCAAAGTTTTCTAGTCGGAATCAGCAAATTATTTGTTTCGGAGGCGAGGTTTTGGTTATGGCAAGGTAATGATCTCTGTCATATTACTCCCATTAATTAACGATCAAAGCAAGATGGTGATAGAAGTGATGGAGAAGTAACACTGTAATCCCTCTTTGTACCTGTAAAATTAAAGTAGTCGTTGAATCTTTTTAAACAATCAGCAGAGGGTGATAACACGAAAGCTTCTGACAGAGACTCCCATGATCTGCTAGTTTGAATTTCAGGAAAATCACCACATACTTTTCTGCAAGATCTTTCATTTTCTATCTTGAGTGGATGTCCACTTAGTGGTGGTTATGACTGAATCGTATCAGTGCTCTATTCAAGGGGAGATATGTGAGCAGTATGACACGTGTTATCCTCCTGTACCACAATGAATGTGAATTAAGAGCTTTCAAGAGGGCATAGTGGGGTTATTTTCATTTCAAGTACTTTTTCAGATTTCTGATTTGTGTAGTGGGGATGGAAAGCCTATGTCATATGTTATTCCTTCTCTAGTACGATTCTGTGAGTGTCTAGTTCTTTCTTGAATGAGTCAATTGAAGTTTCGGACACCACTACTTCGGGTAACAGGTTTCAATAATTGATGAATAGCCATGAAAACCTGTATGTCACGGATATTTTGTTCGTTCTTGGCTTTTCTACTCACAGATATGTACTCCACTTGCCCTAATATGGTAGGTCGAAAAAGAGAGAATATATTAGACTCAAAATCATTTCTTAGTATCCTGTATATCAAGATCAGATTACCTCTCAACCTGCGGTAAGACAGAATAATGAGATCTAGCTTTTAAAGCTGCTCTTTACATGACAAACACTGGAGTCCTGAAATCGCAAATGTAGATGCCTTCTTTACTCGAGTCACTTTTCAGGCAGAAGCTTGAAGTCCGAAATCAGTTTTCAAGTTTAGTTCTTACTTACTTTTTATATACTGTAGTGAATATGTTAGTACCGAACTTGGTGAATTTCCTTGTTAGAGAACATAGTGTTCGGAACCCCCTAGCTGCAACCTCCTGGAATTGGACCGCGATCTTAGGGTCACGACCCATTGTCATTACATGACCCTTGTGAGACCAAATCACGGATACAGGCACTTTCCTCATGCTGTGTCTATTCATCTTTGTATCCCCAAAGTGCATGTAAACGCACTGCCGTGTTGATAGGCACAAGCCATTTCCTAGACCAGGTAATCAGAATATCCAAGTCTGCCCGAAATGCGCATTTATCTGCATTTCTTGTTATTTCTCACCAGATTTTTACATCTTCAGTGTATAGTAACATTGGGAACCAAACTATACTTTGGAGCCCATTCGAACACAGTATAATATTTAAAGGACCCAGGACAGAGCCTTGCGGCACTCCACCAAGTACTGGTTTCCAGGTAGAACGCTTAGAATTTATTCTTACTTTCTTTTTATGACTTGCCAAGAAGTCCCTAAGCCATTTTAGGAGAATCCGGCAATGCCTAGATTTTCCGGTTTCAAGAGAAGTCTATTTTTCGACACCCTATCAAGTGATTTGCAGAAGTCTATGTGAACATCATCCACTGATTTTCCATTGTCTATGACCTCTTTCCAGTTCTCTCTTGCTATAAGTAGACTTGTATAATTGTGGTCTACTATGATATTAGTACTGCTCTTATAATGGACCCAATCCTAAATTGCAGATCTTTCATGATGTAACTGCCTAATCTATAAGATCTTACGTGGAAGTCACATCATTGTCTATACTGACTCATCGTATCATAACAATTATCAATATATGATGGAGAACACATTAAGGCTGGAGATGGGACAATATCTTTTATATGCACTCGATTTGCATCCGGTTTACATGTTGTGAAACCACTTGTTGCAGTTGTCCAATGCATTCCATCCACAACCGGGAAAACGTATGCAGATCTAATACAATGATTTTTTACTTGAGCCATAAAATCGTTTAGTGATTTCAGAAAGAGAACAACAAAATCTGATCTCTAGAATAAATGTTTTTCAAGGCTTTATAGGTGATAGACACTAAATACTATAAGCTGAGGCTTATATGTTACTGTAACTGGAAACAAAAATCCGGGTTAAGTAAATAAATAAGTCTTTACACCTTCAATTGCGAACAATACTAAAAGATTTACTCAACGAGAAAAAAATTCACCGCCCGTTTTTATTTCTGTACTCAAAAAGTGCAAACGTTAAATCACTTTAGAATACAAACAACATCCTTGGCGATTGCTTTGACCGAAATAAATTCAGTTAAAGCGAAAACAGTAACCTTGATTCGTAATAAACGAGCAATACTATAAAATTATCCTAGCGAGGGAAAATACTACTGTTCTTGAAGACATCCCACAACGGTAATAATTTTCTTAAGACAATTGAAATGTAGTAACAGACATTTTCCGTAAGCACTAGAAGCAGTTTTGAATAACTCCAGAGTTACGATACTAACTGTTCTAGAAACATTCTGAATGGTGAGTATGCTCTATTGACTGCGAAATGTAAATGCGAAGAGTCACATAAAATACCTCAGAAAATGACACTATCTTCCTGTTCAGTAGAAAAAATTGTGGTTCAAGATTTTGTTTTGCTTTAGAGGGCGTGGTGTTCTTGGTATCCATTCGCTTATTTTATTTGGGTCTTCTTGAATATCCTAGACATTATCTACGCCTATTATTCGTCGCCAGAGCTTAAGAACTGTGTAAAGAAAAGTATGAGAGTCTTTTGAGTCAGGTGAGTCATTAGTCAACAACAAGAAAGTGAATTATTCAAGGATTGATCGTTCTAGTGCTTTACTTGTTATAGAAAACCAAACTGACATCAAAATACACGTTATTATGGCTTGTAATCTACTTTTTTGGCAATCTGAGAGCCACATCATCAGAAATACACTTGTACCCATAGAGTTGTTTTTTGAAATAGGATGTGGTTCGGTCTCAAAAATTCTGAGAAGCATACGTGCACTAGTTGTCCACGTCCCGGTGACAAGATCTTGCTACTTTAGGCAATCAATATATCTATATTACATGATCTACTCAACATAAAGTCCCACTGAGATTCGAAGGAATTGGGTTTATAGGAACTTAGGTTGATTGCTTAAGAAATGACTATAAACATCTTAGCAATACCAAGACGTTATAGCTCAAGTATTCATTCACCTCTTCTTTGTACAGACATTATATTTCCTATCATTTTATATTGAAAATTGAGAAACTGTGTGTGTTTGAAGAGATAATTCCACTCTTCAAATGAAATGTTCCACGACCTAAATAAAGACCTATATATTACTCGTTTGGTTTTATCTGTTTGCGGAACAAGGGACACCAGCACGAAAGATCCACTCAGAAGCTAGTGAGCAAGATACGCGCTGGTGACTTCTCAAGGCTTTTTTCATTGTAGCGAGCAAGGAGATTGGTTAATGAATGAAAACTTCCACCTTGTTAATCCCTAAATACGCAGGTGTAACTGTTTCCTCCTTCTGGTTCGGGGGAAATTTACCCTCGACTAAATGACACTTCACGTAGGCAGGTGGATGTAAGAAAAGTATGTATCTACAGTTCTCTTAAAATCCAGATTGCATTCTACATAGCAATCATATCCACATGGGTTTATCGCCTAAGAATCCCCTTGATTTTGGGAAGATAAAACCTTGTGTTACTTCGATTAACATGAGAAAAGGTAGAGTATTAGCCAGTGGACGTAAACATATGTCTAGAAGGTAAACAAATGGGAACTGTTTAAACACATAGCAAAATTTTTATGACTTTAAGACCGGCTATGTGCCACGTGATTGGTTTGCCAATCGAAATACGACTTATTTACTCTTGTACTGTACTAAACCAATGACGTTCGACCGGTCTAACCAGCCTAGCGTCCTTATTGGCCCTTTGATCGCCCGTCCAACTGATTCCAGAACACTAATAACAGCTTTCACTATGCGAATCATTTATTTTAGACATAAGTGGTTTATATATCAGCCAAACAGACCACATCACATCATAAAATAGGAAATAACATTTATACAAGTTCAAGCCAAAAGGTGGCTGTGAACGTGTAAGACAGCAACTACTACAGTCAACATAACTTAAGGATAGTTGACTGTATCACGATAGTCTATAGATCAAAATGAAGCTTATAATAAAGACAATACAGACATACATAATCTAGTCACTGAATAGTTATTCAATAAATATATATATATATATATTTAATATTAGTCCATTATTAGATCTCGCGAGTTACCCGTAGTTTAATCTTCACAAGGAAATAACGAATCACTTCATGGAAGTTCTGTATTATTTGGTGATATTCATCCGTAATACATAATATTGTGTGTGTACCTCTCTCTGTAATTCTTATTTTTAGAGTATATATTACTATTATCCGTAAGGTTATATGGAATCTTTTTATCACTTTTCATAGAACGCATCAAACAAGACTAAAAAACTCTACTAAATTATTTTTAAGTTGGAGTGCATGTATGGAATTACATATAGTATTACCAGTAATTTCTAAAATGCCACTCTCTGATACAAACATTAAAAGACGTTAAGGTGTTTTATCTGACGTGCCTGCCAATCATTTCTAAAGTTATAGGAATTTGCTTTTGCCGTTCCTCTTGACGAATCTCACTCACTGCTTCTTACTGTTTGCAGGTACTGTGGCGCTATCAGCAGTCATAATTTCGCCAGTGCATGAGCTGGGGTTTTGTGCTCATGGTTGCATATTTAGCTGAACCTGAGTAGGACGAAATTGGCATACTGGTATGGATGACCGTGTCTACTTTTGATAGGATCTTATGCCGTTCTTTTGTTAGTTTACTCGATGTATTTGTTCTACGCAGTAGGCAAATGTACCAGAACTATGAACAGGGGTGACTTAATATAAAGACATAGTTCTGCCTAGGTATGCGGTGTCACAGAGACTGTGAACTCAGCCACCACAAAAATTATCGTTAAATGTAGGGTCGCTAGTATTGAAGAGTGTTGAACGTGCGATACGAAGATTGTTTTGTGTTGTCCCTTCCCAGCAGTCTGCGTAACTCACGAATTATGACTCTACTTGATCACCATTTCGCTTGCTATTTTTACCAGATGTTGGAACATAGTTGACGGTGTGA